AAAAAAAAAAAAAAAAAAAAAAACACATCATAGTAAAACCAATACCTTCTCAGCTTCGCATCGAAGCTAAAAAAAAATACAATATTAATTTAATTATTTTTACTGTTATACCATTTTATAATTATAGTTGGACATAAAGGTTTCCCATTATCTCTATTTCGTAGGCCCAATTTGGGTATGAGTCATAAACGACAAACTTCACTTTTTGAGATCTATAATATCGATTGAAACCAATCATATTTTCCTAAAAAAAAAAAATACTTTTAAATTTAAAATTTTTAATTTTAGCGTTTTTTTTTGGAATTATTCGAACTAATCAATATACATATATAATCGTTTTTATACCAAAATTACGTATGTCGATTTTTTAAAATATAGCTACTATAAGTTAATTTTTACTAATGAAATAAGTTAAAACAAAAAAATTAAATCTCAAGAAATNATAGCTACTATAAGTTAATTTTTACTAATGAAATAAGTTAAAACAAAAAAATTAAATCTCAAGAAATTTTAATACGCTGAATATACATAATATTGAAAAATATATAATTTATCTGTATATTTTGATGAATTGTAGTACTTAGAAAATTAATGGGATTAATTTAATTGAAAATTGAGATATGATTACTTTAACCTATCGAATCATAATCAAGATTGGATCACCGAACAACTTAAGCATTGCTTCCAGCAAACTAACAAAGTAGTATACTTAGAGGAGTTTTTTTCATAATACATAAAATATAAATTTATCACCTCTTCAAAATGCTTAAACTTTCATAATAATATGTAATAAATTAAGTTCCGAATGATTATTTTTTATTAAATACATATAATTTCTAAGCAGTAGTCGCGGCAATTTGTCGTTTTAGAAGGTCACTTTAGGTTAATGGTAACTGCCACTGATCAGTTGTCGGGTATAATACTTAAATCAGTGGCTGACTTTATGGTAACATTTTTGTCTGCTATTTGCCAACTTAAATTCATTCAGTTGTCAGGTTTACTAGACTACCGGCTGTCGTCAGCCGATTATACTTACAAATAATTGACCACTACTGTCTGTTACCAAAAGTTAAGCACGGCCAATTTCAACCAACTTTGACAAACACACACCGGCTAGCGGAGTCAGTGGCCAATTTTATAGTCTTATCAGTCTGATCAAAAAGTTAATAGTAGCGGCTAATTTAATTTGCACTCTATTCTTATGTGACCATTGCCCAAAAGAACATTTACGCCATGGTACCATAACCATTACCATTACCATTACCATAACCATTAAACAATATATGTTGCCACTTGGTTAAACGTTTTCAAGAAAAAAAAAAATTTGTACCATTATTTCATTAGGTACCGTCCAACTAGTTTATATTATTAATATGTTAGATCGGATCGATATTATCTAACAAATATCAAAATTCAGTATCAGGGATTCATAACAGTAATGTATGTGTTTATACGTCCGGGCGTCTCGAATGGTGTCCAGTCTCTCGCCAACGAATTTTAAAGTGGCCATCAAGATATTCAATGACATTAATGATAGTTCAATAATGATGCCACTTGTTGGCATCTCATGAGCTCCTGATACTAAAATTTTACTTTTATCCGAAGTGTATTGTCGTAATACACTCGTCACTATCACAATGTGAAATAACAGTGGGCTACTCTGTTTGTGTCCACAGTAATGGTTTTTCATTTAAACTTTTCATTGAAGACTATTAACACTTATATTTATAAATTTTATTCATATGCTTAAAATAACATGATTGTTTTTAAATAAATAACTTTGAGAAATATTTAACTGTCGTTTAATTATATTATATTACACACGATTCAGTCATGAGTCAATTATTAGTTACCATTAAAAATCACTCTTTAGGACATTTATAAATTATACTTGTCAGCTCTTTTTACTCTTATCTTAATAAATAAACACAATGTGTTAACCCTAGTCTAGAATGTAAAAACAAACTATTAACGTTGTAAAAAATGATTTGTATATTATCCATGTGTAATAATTTATACATTTCATATTTTATGCTTACTTAACAATTAAAGATAACATTACAAGAATGACACAATGATGATTGTTCGGGGATAAAAAATACTATAAAAGACAGAGTAATCCCTCTCAGTCAGGACTGAGTGATGAGGGCTTGAGGGAGTCTGTCTCCAGATATTCATTGAGCTGTTCGAATCGCATCCTTAACATCGATACGTAAACATCATTGTCGAAATTCTTACGTGTTAATTTATGAACTAAACATTTGAGTTCGTGTTGTTATGTTATTACTTGATATTATTAAAAGTTATTATAAGAACAAAGAAAAATCATCAGGTAAGATTTCAGATCAATACTTATATTATCTTATAACTCAATTATTTAGAATTAATAATCTGAATACAGAACGATAAAGCAATAAAGTGAGACACAATCAGTTTATAGTTCTTTAGATGAAATTTAAAAAATGCATGATGCAATGTCTATTTAAACCTAGTTAAAGCATTTGACACTGTTGAACACAATATTTGATTACATTAATTTAAAAAATAAGATAAGGGAAGCACTCCAACATATTTTTTGTCTTAAATAACAGAAAACAATATTTTAATATAAATTAATGCATTGTTTCTCTGTACTTAATGAAATTCTGAATATCCAGAGAATTTTTATTGTTTAAGCTAAAATACTAAATCATTTTTATTATGATTATTGATATTGGAAACACAAAAAGTCAAAAATCTCGTCAACCGCCGAAAAAAGCGCGTTATCTTCATCCTTTTTGATATTGTAAGTAACAAAATCAAAGTATCAACAATTCTTTTCAAGTATAATGTGGTGTAAACAATTGCGAAAAAGTAATTTATTATCGTTAAAATTTAACAACAAACTGATTTATACTTGTCAATAAAAATCCTGTGTATTAATGTAAAGCACGGCAACTTATATTTTACTATTTTTATAATTTGAAGACATTTAAGTAATTACATAAAATTAAGAGATCTACCAGTGGCGGCTCGTGACTTGCGCGACGGGACGATCGCACTACCTACACAAATGAACTAAAAGAAGAAAATTAATTGTATATTCTTAATTCTACATTTTTATTAAAATTACAAATTTTTAAATAGTAAAATAGTTATAATACATCTGTCGTGTGCGAAAGTTGTTTCTCTCAATATATGCGGTACTCTTGAACACACGAGCAGTGTTAGGACGACCGGCAGTGTCGTCCGAGCAATTTCTGAAACTTATATTATAAAGGGAGGCACCCAAAGAAAAACCTCAATCGATTTTTATAGAGAAACTTTATCAACGGTTTATGATAATGTTTTATTAATACGAACAAAATAACTATTCTTATAAATAATTATTGTTCAAGACAAGAAAAAAAAATATCATATTGATAAATATATCATAGGTTCAATAGTAATGATATATTTATCAAATTGAACAATGAATTTATTATATAGATCAAGGTTTTTCTCTGGGTGTGTGCTTGCGGATACTATTCAGCTGTGATCTTATATAACTTATATAAGAACTATTTTTACATGGGGGGAGAACATTTAATGACTAAAACTCGGTCCCCTTGATTGCTACTAAGCTAAAAAGCGGGTTAAGCTATTGTTTGATGGATTTTAGTGATCATAAAAAAAAACCCGGTAATTTATAAATTTTTTAATCCAGCCGACTTATCAATTTATTACCGTTACCATAGATAACGAGACTTTCATTCCATTTTCGGAAAAAAATTTAGCCGATTGTCACACAAATAAATTTCTTACAATTTGCGAATTTCCACCGATATCAAACCAAAAACTCCAAACTAACCGTGAGACACTTATTTATTTAAAGTCACATATTACTCCTGAAATATGTAATATCAAACAAATTTCCTCAAAATTCGAAACCTCCCATAAATTACACTCACACAACGCGTGGATTTATATAACACCTGATTCCATTGAAATAACTATAATATGCGGTGAAAATTCATATACGGAAGAATTAATAAAAACCATAATTTTATCGCTAAACGCGAGGTGTTTAGTTCATACACCTAACAACATTCTAGCCACACATACATTCGTTAAACAATCTTTCCAAACAAATTTTGTGCCCCAATTAACATTATCAAACAACAGTTTGTTTTTACCGAAATTTAATAAAATCAATAATTTACCGGCTATCATAAAACCCAACATAATCCCCATCGATTCGGGATTACATGAATTAGGGAAATATTCAGAAAATTTGGATTACGTCATTAAAACTATGGAGGCTACAGAAAAAACAATAGAATTTGAGAATGCAATTAAAAACAATCAAATAATTTTCCTTATTATCCTGTTTCTTGTCGGATATGTGCTTTTATACCTTGTGGCGAGATATATTAGGGGCAAATGCAAGTGTCCCCCCCCCATGGAGCCTTCATCGGTTTATTTTACACGCGGTGAACGATCCATTCACTAAAAACCAAACGGCTTACTTCCCCACCATTTTGTATAACTGAATATGATATCTATTTTAAACATTCATAAAACATTTTATAATTATTCTATAGCTATGAACACATTTTCCAACGATACACTCCTCCTCGTCAACTGTTCCATTGAAGAATTCTTTTCGTCGGCCGTGCGGCACTTGCTGGACTTTGCACCGTAGCGTATGACACGCAGTGTTAGTCAGTCAAATACTCATAGCAGGGCGACGGCTGATAAAGGTGGCACGAGTCGCGGGGCATCGTGTATAACGAAGCGACGCGGGCCGTGTCAAACAGTCAACCATACTTAGAAGATTATTCAAATGCTATCTCGGAATTGACAAACTTTCTTACTCACAACAACATATGGCACATTACAATCCCTGCCATAGGTATGAATAGGGATAAAATTCCAGTCGCATTCGGATTGACGTGTTTTACCAAAATCCTTGTAGGTAGAGGCGTTTCCGTTTGCTTATGTGCCACGGAACAACTCCATGACGAGATCAAGGCGTATCTTAACTATCTGTAATTTTATTGTTATTTTTATTTAAAATAATTTTTATAAATATATATACAAATTTGCTTACGCATGGACTTATATTTATTTTTGGTTACTCCTTACCAAACTGTCTTATTTATTTGTTAATAAATAGGTCATTTAGGTGTTTGATAACTAGGTCAATTATTAACCTCTATAATGTATACATTGCATTCACCTAGTTCCCATTTTGCCATCTCGCCAATTTTTGTAGCCAGCCACGGCCACGCCACGCCATAGCAACGGTCAATGTCACGACCATTACCATGACTTTTGTCATTTTATTTTGAACCACAGTCCCTTTTTATAGAACATCCAAACCACGACTTTAACATCTTCGTATAATTTCGTATGTAGCGACTTGATCACCGAGACATCAAATTATCACGATTCGTTCATATTTATGTTCTATCCGCCCTTTGATGACGTCCATCGGGTGAGTAATTTCTACATAGAAAATTAAATCCATATTACTATCGAAATATATAGTATTATTATATTATTATTTTGGGGCCACATTACAGCATTGTCTGTTTATTTTTTATTTATATTCGGCAAGTCCGATTTATTTTATTTTGTGGCATACTTATATACTTATATGTATATTATTATTATATTTGGCAAAGTCCGACTTAGTTCTTGGAACATTATTATATATTATTTTATTCGGTATAACCGATTTTGTGGCATATCTATATTACTATTATTTTCGGTAAATCCGATATATTTAATTTTGGCATATATTTTATTATTATTCTCGGCAAATCCGTTAAATAATTTACTTTGTGACATATATATATTATTATTTTCGGCCAGTCCGATACATTACGTTATGGCATATTTGATTTATTTTATTTGATATTTATGGCTTATTATTATTATTCCGTTCGACTAGACCAACATATTTTTATAATAGCATAATTTTACTCTAATTACCAAAACAATGTTATAACATGACTTTTATTATTTTGATGGGCTTAGCCCTACTTCCCTTTATTTATTATATATTTTGAAATTATTTATATTCGATACTTTAAGGTGATATAAAATGCACGATACACGAGGTTTCATAAAATTTACTTTCTACATAATTTATTTGAAAAATAACTAGTATCCAATTTTATAAAAATGAATTTTGAAACAATATTTGTGGTAAATAAAAACCTTGATTATTATTAATTATATTAAAAAAGTATTTTGATGTGGTACTTACGAAATGAAATTTTCAATATAACACAGCACGCATGTTCAGTCCCAATAGGTCAAACACAAAATGATTAACACTTTACAGTATAATGCACTTAATGTGACAGTCAACAGTCGTCACAGTCGCTACGCATTAGGAAAACGTGACAAATTTGAATTTATTTCATATATTTCTAACAGCTAATTCCTTTGTATGACATATTGTAACTTCATTGAATATACATTACTTATAAAATTGCAATTGTTACTAATAGAGCGAGCCAGATTTTACGTTTTTTCCGCTTTAAAATTACGAATTTTCGAGACCGGTACTGTTCTTCGGGCTCTTCGTTTCTCGTTTTTTGCCGCCTCCGCGCGAATTTTCGGCGACCCGTTTCTTTGACTTTTGCAGTTTTCGAAATTCCGTGGAACGGAAAACGACGCAAAATAGGGAACGACGCGCCTCCCAATCGGCCTGTTGCATTCCCGCCGTTTCGTCGTTATCAGCGAGTCCAACGACGAAATGTCGTTATCACTGCGTTTCGTTCGTCGTGGTTGTAGTCCTTTACCACGTCGTTTATTTATCATAATTTTCAATAGTAGTGACTGCATTTATTAATTAATGTGATTTTGTAAATGTTGTTGTTCTATTGCGATTATTAATCGAGACGTGAGATTGGTAATTTTATAGCGATTATGATTAACATAGATTATAAATTGTCGATATTTTAACGGTCATTGTGGTGTTATTTAATTTGATTTTGTAATTTTTAAATGGTGGTTGTCATGTCCTAACGAATGCTTCTATGGCCAGACCCGTTGGTTAAGAGTGCTGGCTTTAATCGACAACGGATATATTAAATGGGTAACGCATATTTATTTGTTAAAAAAACAAAAAACCTGTGCGTTTGACGTTTTTACAACAATTGTAATTAATATAATTTCAAAATCGTTTATATAATCATTGTAATGGCAGTATTAATTAATTTGATTTTATAATTATTAGATGGCATTTGTTGTACGCTAGGTATGCTTCAATAACGGCTCAGCCTATTGACCAAGAGTGCTGGCTCTAATGGATAACAGATTTATTACATGGGCAATCCATTTTTTGTTAAATTAAATTAGTTTGTCAGTAATTAATAGTTTTTAAATGGTAATGAGACCAATAAATTAATTTAATTTTGTAAATTTTAGACTATGATACTGTTGTGTCCGGATGAATATGATGGAGATTGCTGATGGTTTTAGATTTATTGCACAGGTAATTCATTTGTCAAAAACAAATTTATTGTTATTTACTTTTCTTAGAGTACAGTTCATCCTTTTACATTTTAATTAATTAACTTAGCGTATGTTAATCTTTAGGTCAATTTGTATTTCATTTATACAATCTATATATATATATATATACATGTATATACTTTTTTTGTTTAATTAATTTTAGCTTCGATGCGAAGCTGAGAAGGTATTAATTTTACCATGATGTGTTTATTTTTTTTTTTGTGTCTGTCACTACTTTTTCTCAGCTCTCACTGGACCGATTTCTTTTAACAATACGTCAAAAGATCACAAATTGTATCTAGTTGAAGACATTACCCTTAAAAATTTAAAAATTTTCCCTCGTTCCCCGCAAATGGGGGAAATATCCAAAAAAATTACAAATTTAAAAATTGACAAATTTTGTCATTTTTTTCACTTTTTTTTCTTAAAACTTCCATAACTTTTTCAAAAATCAACAAATCAACATAATTTTTTTTTAAACTAAAACCTTAGATATTTTCCTTTCATTTGATATAATTTTTTTGAAAATTTAACACTTAACCTGCTCATGGGGGGGGATTTAAAATTGCAACTTTTTTACAAAAACTAACTTTTTCAACTTAATTTTTGAAAATGTTCCGGAAATACTGCGTCCTTTAAACATATATCAAATTAAAGCTTATTTTATGTACTATAAAATGAAAAAAAAAAATTTGTCCCGACACTTTATCTTCTGCATGTAAACGGTTGCCGTAGTTAAAAAAACACTATTTTTGTGTTAAAATTTTCGATTTTCAATTTTTAATTTTCAACTTAAAAATGCTATAACTTTTCGAAAAATGCATGTATCAGCACAATTTTTTTTTTTCTAAATACATTATAAGTACATCTTCCATTTGACATACTTTTTATTAAAATTAGACAATTTCCCCTTATATAGGGGGGGTTCAAACTTTGAAACATTGTATAAAAAATAGAACTTTTTCAACTGAACTTTTGAAAATGTTCCGGAAATACTGCGTCCTTTAAACATATATCAAATTAAAGCTTTTTTTATGTACTATAAAATGAAAAAAAAAAATTTGTCCCGACACCTTATCTTCTATGTGCAAATGGCTGTCGAAATTATAAAAAAAATGTAATATTTGCGATAAAAATCACCTTTTATAACGATGTTTTTTGTACTTAAAACTGCCATAACTTTTTCAAATATTAACTAATCAAAATAATATTTCTTTATATTGAAACCTTAGGTAATTTTCTTTCATTTGATATCATTTTTTTTTGAAAATCTAACACTTATTCTGCTCACAGGGGGGATTTAAAATAGCAACTTTTTTACAAAAACTAACTTTTTCAACTTAATTTTTGAAAATGTTCCGGAAATACTGCGTCCTTTAAACATATATCAAATTAAAGCTTATTTTATGTACTACTAAATGAAAAAAAAAAATTTGTCCCGACGACCTATCTTCTATGCGCAAAAGGCTACCGTATTTAAAAATATGCTATTTTTTATTAAAATTCTAGGTTTTGTATTTTATTTTATTTTAAAATATTTTATTAGGGGAATAAACTGACTTTCATGAATATTATATAATTTCATTGACATAGAATAAAGTTCATAAGACATATGATATTATACTTATTAACATTTTTTACTTTTTTAAAGTCGAAAAAGTAATTTTTAAATTTGAGTTAGCTTAAATAGCCAATTTTATCATGCAACAAAAATCAACGAATAGTTGCCGAATGGGTAACACCTTGATCTTTAACGCCTAGGGTACGAGGTTCAAATCCGTTTGTGGCTTCTAAAATTTTGCATTTTTTTTTTGAGTTAGAATAGAATTTTCAAATCATTTGATATTTATCTCATTTAGATTCAATAATTTCAATAAATATAAAGGATCTTATCACTATAGTCTCCCCTCGTGAGAAGAAATTGATATTCATGTTAATATTATTTTACTATGTGGTTCTTTTTCTGGCTACGATTTATTTTGCCAACCCTCACTAGACCTACTTTTTTCAACGATACGTCAAATGATTCATTTAAGTTTATGATATTTAAGTTAATGATTAGTTTAAGTTATTACTCTTAAAAATCAAAAAAATATTCCTTATTCAAATAAAAAGTAGCTTAACTAGATTTGTCCATACAAACAATTAAAATCATTAATTTTTAATATTCTTAAATTATTTATTGTCGAATTAAATTTGATATGATAAAAGTATTCAACTACAAAAGTAAATAATTTTACTTTATAATTTATTAATTTTTTAACTCTATTTCTGTGTGCTACTACCAGTCTATAATATGCCAAATTTTTTAGTAATATTTTGCTATATAAATCATAAATTTAAAAAAAAAATGATTTTTAGTTTCACCTGAAGTTAACGATGGAGTTTTACAATTATAATTATATTTTTGATAATATGCTCAATTGAGTAAATCTTTTTAACTACTTTGGTTTGATTGGTTCATTTAATTAAAGTAAATTATTAAAATTAATTAAGTTCTGAATATTTCAATTGCAGAATTTTTTTAAACACCAAAAGTTATTAGGATATGATTACTATTCTTTCTATTTCAGTTATCTATTACGATAAAAATGTAAAAAAATCGAATTTTTCTGACAAATGTACTGTAATTAGTAATTATAAAATTTCCAGATTGCATATTAATCTTAAAAATTTCATTTTTTTCAATTTAATAATGTCAATTTCAAACTTGCAAGTTGAACTATAAGTTATGGTAACAAATTCATTTTTTAGCTTCGATGCGAAGCTGAGAAGGTATTTTTCATTAAAACTTTCACTTTAAAAGACAATAAAAAATAGGTTCAAAATGATTACCTTTAACATATTAAAAATCAAAATCAGTATTAATTTAATACAATTTTTTTTGTTCTTAATTATTTTTTTTTATATGTAAATACTTATTTTTTAATAATAAGTAATAATATTAAAACTTAGAAGTAATAGAAAAAGTTTAATTGCACATTTGAAAACATCACGAAAAGTTTATTTAGAAAAGTATATTTTTTTTCTGATGAAAGTTCCTTTTGTTTAGTGTATTTATTCATAAGTAACAAAATTTTTTTATTAAAAAGTATTGCATAAATTCCTTTAAATTTGTATACGCATTAAAAGTATATGAATATACAACTCCTTTTTATTTTTATAATATCTCCGTAAAAATTACAATATTATATTATTGAATACCACTTTCATACTCAATTTAATTACTGTAATTATTATGTATTCATATATTATAGTTATAAATCGGGGTAAAATTAAGGGAATAAGTGTTATTGTTGTTTTTGAAATAATCTACCAATTTCATTTTTTTCTATTTAATAATATTTATTTCAAACTTGCAAGTTGAGTTAAAAGTTATGGTAATAAATTCATTTTTTTTTTATTAAAACTTTCACTTTAAAGAACAAAAAGAAGTAGGTTCAAAATGATTACTTTTAACATATTAAAAATCAATAATAATTTGAAAATAATTAATTATAAAAATTATATAATATATAATTAAAATAATTACTAATCTGGATATAATTAAGGAAATAGGAGTTGATGTTGGGTTGGGTTGGTTACATTTTTAACTTTATAATGCTATAACTCATTGAAAAGTGTACGAATCAACACAATTTTTTTATGAGAAATAATATTTTTTAATAATCCCTTTTTCATTCGACATACTTTATCTTAATCAGGGTATTAATAAGAAACTAGCAGATAATGTAGCTTTTGTAATTATCCACCAATTTCTTAGAATTAAACACTATCTACTGATTTGCATCGAAGCGTTTCTTATGATAGTGATTTTAATCACTGTCAGATTAAATCTATACTGGACCCAACTATGCAACATCCCCACTATGCCGCGACCCCACTGTGCTGGGTTTTTTTTTTTATTTGCACATACTACATTTATATTTGTTGTTGATCCCTCTATGATTATTCGTTATTAAAATGTGTTACTGACAATACTACATCAGTTGTAATAATAATGATATAATCTTTAAATTGTTAATATATTATTATTATTATTATGGTAATAGCTCTATTAATTCAATTTGATTTTGTAATTTTTAGACTGCGTTTATTTTATCCTGAGTACTGCTTTATAATATTCTCCTCTGGAATATTAAAAAATCAATATCTCTTTCATTTCTCAGACCACAGAAAAAAATACACTAAAACTATTACACATTTAATTTTGACTTTTGGCAATTATAAAATAGCCGTGAGTCATTGTCTTTCTTACTGTCTAGTGAATTTTTTGTTTTTCTGATTTTACTTTTTACTTTCAGATAGACTGCTATTATTTTGTTCTCTTCTTGGTGACTTCTCGCCGCCAAACATAGCTTGGAGAAGACCGCTATTGGCTCTCGGAGTTTATCAAAAGCGCATACAGATATTTCCATTGATTGTACTTTAATTATAATACAAAAAAACTGTTTTTTTTTTTTTTAAAAGAAAAACTTTTTTTGTATGTAAATATATATTATATAAATATTATATGGGGAAAAAAAAATATATGTTTTACTCTACTTTAGCTGAAGATGATCAAGACTATTTGATTGAAAATGAAATATCTTCCTCAGAAGAAGAAGAAGAGATTGGAGAAGAAGAAATAGTTTTGAGTAAGTATAACATATAAAATAACTAACACAGATATTAGATAATTAATTATTTTTTTTTTATAAATTATTCAAATTTAGATACATTAATAAATAACACAGAGATAGAGGAGCACTATAAATATGCCATGAATAAAAAAATATTCTTAAAAGATGGACGATATTGTAAGTATCAATAAAGTATAACCGATATATATAAAAATTAAAAATATAAATTTTCTGCTTAGATCCTTACAAGAAGAAACCTATTGGTATAGTTAGGGCGTTAAGATGAGAGCAATTTGTTTAATATTTAAAAAAAAAAAAAAAAAGCTTACAATTATTTCCCTTGTAAGATTTTAAATTTAATAAAATATAATATTTTTATTTTATACAATTCTGTCGTATTTATTTACACTATATGTATTTGTGCATAATGATTATAATATTAAATATAAGTCTGTAGTAATAAGCAGTACAAAGATGAGTTTTACACATTAAATATATACAGCAAATTTAGTATACGCTATGGTATTTGTAGCACGTTGTACTATGTATGGTATGTAGTAGGCTATTTATAAAAGTAGTAGGGACACTGTGTCGGTTTACCGAACAGTGATCCTGGAATCGTATAATCTCGATTTAACAAGTCTGAACATGTTAAAACCTGTCTGAACGCATTCAAATCCCTGTTCATCCTGTTTGAACCCCGTCTCAACGTGTTTACAATCGTTTGTACCATATTTATCGGCAACAATTAGACTAATTATTGCTATTGAGTTTAAATTAGTTAATAATTTCATCGTGATATATGCATAGCGCTATACGTTATAGGGGTTTCCATATAAATGGATGTTGCTTTAAACTTGTGTATGGTACGCGTTGAGTACGTGTTTGATGTGCTGCATTCTCTATACGCAAAACTTACGTCACTGACTTTGAAAACGAATTCGATTGTTTGGTACGCGGTGAAGATTCGATAATGGAACACAAGCGTAAAAGTCCTCAATGTCACTTCTTTAGAGACAGTTCAGGTAATTCAAAACGTACGTGTTTGTATCTCTTGTATGTTTTATGAATATTCTCTCTTCAGCGTATGATGTTTGTGGCTTGTACGGTTTTCCACCCTCTGCAATTAGCTCTAGTATGAAAGCCGCAAATTTACTAGAAATGGTCCGTCAAATTAAAACTCCTAATCATATATCGTTTAGTACAAATGTCGCTCGTTTGGCAACATTTAACAAGTGTCAAAGAATAATGATGCAAAAAGTGCAAAACCTATTAAAGATAAATATGTCAAAATTCTATTTGAAAATGAGAAGGTAGTAGGAATGGGTGAGAAACAAGAGAAGCGGTATTAACACTGAGAGAAGAATTACACTGAATAAAAATACTATAAAAATAGCAACATTCATAGATCTAGAGAAGGCTTTCGATATAGTGGAATGGAAAATATTATTCAAGATATTAAAAGAAAAAGGAATTCATTGGAAATATAAACGAAATATAAGTTGAAGATGAGCAACTTATGTAAAAATCACACAACAAAAATAAATGTAAATGGATCGGAAAAGATGCAAGAATAAGGAGAGGAGTGAAATTAAATGAAATAAATTCCATGAAAACCAATATTATATTTATAAATAAAATGCACTCAGATCTAAATCTTAATATACTGTAATAACTAAAAGTAAAGTTGATGGGGATGGTATTAATAAAGAAGAATGATAATGGTTAACATAGTTAGTGTGTTAAAACTACTCTTACCAAATATCCACTGATGATAGAATCTCGGCTGGTGATTTATAGTTGTTAAATATTATTTAAAATTATAGTAGGTATGTTAATAAAAGAGAATCAAAAATGTTAGTGTATTCGTTATTGTGGTCAGAGAAATAAAAGAGGTATTGAATTTTTTAATATTCCAAAGAAGAATATTACAATACAAATAAACAATACACGATTACAACAAGCCCAAAAATTCTGCTACTTTGGAAGTATCATAGCTTCTAATAACAAATCAACACCAGACATCAGAAGAAGAATAATATTGGCAAAACAAGAATCAGCTTCTCACCAATAAACATCTGAGTATTGGCATACGTAAAAGATTCGTTAAAACATTTGTCTGGAGTGTGCTTTCATATGGTAGTGAAACATGGACCATTGACAAGAAAGACAGAAGCATTAGAGTTATGGATATGGAGAAAAATTACAAAGATAATAAGGATAGACAAAAAGCTAAAATAATAAGTGCTAGAAGAAAGACAGCTAATGAAGGTGATTGAATCAAGAAAAATTAAGTTAATCGGACACATCATACGACACAACGACTTTACAATCAACATCTTCGAAAACAAAATAACTGGGAAGAAATCAAGAGGACGCCCAAAGAAACTATATTTTGAAAATATTCTAGAACTCATGAACTGTGCGTTTTATGTTTCACTGAAGAATTTGGCGTCAGAGAGGAGTAGCTTTAACGACAAGACGTTGCCTTTAATAGATAATGATTAAAGAGTTTTTCATTTGCTTATAAAAGATTGTTTATATAAAAAAAAATGTATATTATTATAATATTTTTAAATAGTGTTTAACTACACAATTAAAAAATTGTTTTTGTAATGTTTTACGTGAAAACTAATTTGATAAATCAATAAATCATTGCATAAAATCAAAGTAATCAAAATCATAAATCAAAGTATTTCAATTGTATATATATATATATATTAATAACTTATATTAACATTGTAGTAACTATTAAATATTTGTTATCTATTGAAAGAGGCACGTAGAGAGCGTGACAAATAAACTCTAGGATCAAGATGATTATCTTGAATTTAAAAAAATGTGATAGTGTTTGCGAAATTTTTATTAATTAATTTATTATAATATTTTTTAATATAATAAGCAGACAATGACAATTTTGTTGAAAATAATTTAGAAGACTACATATGTTTGCTATAAATCACACTTTTTTTCAATGATAAAAAAAAATATTTGAATTTTTAAGTCTTATTAAAATTAGGATAGTAGTAGGAAGATTTATAAATAAAAAACAAAATTCGGTATTTTTAGCAAAATTAAAAAAGTTTTTACAAAACCTTTCGATGTAGTAAATATTAAACCTTTTTTATGGATATATAACAATTTTAAGACGTGCAAATATTATAGTACACTCATCTTAATATACAGGGTGATTTTTTTATCATAACCCACTCAATTACTTGCAGAATAATAATTTAAACATTTTTTTTTTTTATTATCTTTAGTTACACATTATTCTTGAACTTTTAACTATGTAATACTTTTTAAGTTCATCCCTTATGCCTTGGAGGGGGGTCAACTTTGTTTTTTTAAATGGTAACACATATTTTTAATTTAATAAAATGTTTGAGTTTTTAATTTAATAGTAAATGGCATTTGAATTTTTAATATAACTTTATTAGCTTATTAGATATAAACATTTAAAGTTTCAAAANAGCTAATAAAGTTATATTAAAAATTCAAATGCCATTTACTATTAAATTAAAAACTCAAACATTTTATTAAATTAAAAATATGTGTTACCATTTAAAAAAACAAAGTTGACCCCCCTCCAAGGCATAAGGGATGAACTTAAAAAGTATTACATAGTTAAAAATTCAAAAATAATGTCACATTATTATCTTTAGTTACACATTATTAATGTGTAACTAAAGATAATAAAAAAAAAAAATGTTTAAATTATTATTATTCTGCAAGTAATTGAGTGGGTTATGATAAAAAAATCACTCTGTATAGAGTGAGTATATAGCATAGCACGAGTATAAATTGTAAATATGTAACAGTACTCTATGTATTAAAATTTAAAGAATAAAAATTCTTTATTTGAAATTTCAATTATATTTTAGTTTTATATTTATACTCTTAGTGAAAAACAAAATATTACTGTTACTCGTTTGAAATATAGATTCATGTCTTAATACAATTAAAATTTCGCTTTAAATTTTTTTGTTTTCAATTCATTTAATCTAAAATAAGTTTATTAAATTCAGTTTTAATGTAGATGTCTGCTATTGGTTGGTTTTATATTGTCGTTCTCTATATTTTATATCAACATTAGTTATTAAAATAAGAAAATTAAATGAAATAAATGTACAGAGTGAAACAGATCTAACCGACAACATTTATAACTTTTGATACAATTAGGATTTTGTTGTAATTTTTATTTTTTTTTTACTTATTTTCATTTAAAAAAAAAAACGGTAGCACAGTGGGGTCGAGTCACAGTGTGGATGAGGCATAGATGGGACAAGTATAGATGATATCTGACAGTGATGAAAATCTTTATCATAAGAAACGCTTCGATGCAAATCTGTAGATAGTGTTTAATTTAGAGAAATTGGTGGATTATTCCAAAAGCAACATCAACTCTTATTTCTTTAATTATATCCTGATTAGTAGTTCTTTGATTTTAAAATATAATATATGAATAAATACTAATTATAGTTTTTAAATTTAGTATGAAATTGTGAGGCCAGCTATGATGTATGGTTCAGTGTTAGGCGGTTGATAAGAAAGTAGAGCAGATATGAGAATGCTTAGTTGGATGAGTGAAGTGACTAGAGAAGATAGGATAAGGAACAACCATATAAGGGGAACTATAGGTGTTGCGTCAATCGTGGATAAGATGACAGAAAATAGACTTTGAATTGGAAGATTTAAGAACAGTTATAGAAATGAATTTTGAAGGAAGAAAAGATAGAGGTAGACCAAAAAAGAGATTGAGTGATGTTATTGAATGCGACATGAGGACAGCTGATGTGAGCGTAGATGTGGGAGATCGTGTCAAGTGAAAGTTTAGGATAAGGGTGGCCGACCCCAAGTAGTTGGGATAAAGGCAAAGAAAAAGAAAAAAAATTACCAGAAATTCCGGTGGCGATTTTAATTGTCTTTATGAAGAACATGTAATAACTAACTGTTTAATTGATAAATTAGAATTTTTTTTTCAATTTTTGAGGGTAATATCTTCAACTAGATACGAATTGTAATAATTTGACATATCGTTGATAAAAGTAGGTTAAATTAGAGCAGAGAAAATAAATGATAGTCACAAAAAAATATCTTCTCAGCTTTGCATCGAAGCTAAAACTTAAAATATAGTAAAATAATTTTAATACGAATAAGAAATTTCTTCTTGCAAGGGGCGACTAAAGTGATGGTTATTGAAGTTATTGAATCTAAATGAGATAAAAATCAAAGCAATTGAAAATTTATTTTAACTCAAAAAGAATTAAGAATAAATTTCATTTCCATACGCGGGTTGGAATCTCGCACCCCAAGCTTGTAAAACACAAGTTTTACCAACTCGGCAACCGTACGTCGCTACCCTCACCTGAAAAAATTGGCAATTTAAGCTAGTTTAAATTTCAAAGTTAATTTTCTCGACTTAAAAGAAGCAAACAAATTTAAATATGTTTAACTTTCTATGCTATATTAATTTTTTATTTATATAATATTTATGAAAATCTGTACTCCCTTTGTCAGGTATTTTAAAATAAAATAAAATACAAAACCCAGAATTTTAACACAAAAATAGCAAATTTTTGAATACGGTAGTCATTTTTACCATGAAGACAAATCCAGAGGTCACANACCCAGAATTTTAACACAAAAATAGCAAATTTTTGAATACGGTAGTCATTTTTACCATGACGACAAATCCAGAGGTCAATTTTTTTTTTTAAATTAAAGTATATTATATAAGCTTTAATTTAAGAAATATATAAAAATGTCAGTATTTCCGGAATACTTTCAAAAGTTAATTTTTTGTAAAAAAGTTTCCATTTTGAAACCCTTTCTGTTGTGGGCTGTTAAAGGGTAAAATGTTCACAAAAATATATAAAATGATAGGTAAATATCTAAGGTATCTATAAAAAAAAATATTATATTGATTCGGTCATTTTTAATAAAATTAATTTTTTGTGAAAAAGTTGTCATTTTAAATCCCCCCCAATGAGCAGGTAAAGGGTCAGATATGAAAAAAAATATACCAAATGATAGGTGAAGACATCATGCATCTATAAAAAAAAGTTATGGCAGTTTTTAGTAAAAAAAATTGAAAAATTTTTGAAAATTAGCGATTTTTAAATTTGTAATTTTTTTGGAGGTTTCCCCCATTTACGGGGAACGAGGTAAATTTTTTCAATTTTTGAGGGTAATGTCTTCGATTAGATACGATGTGTGATCTTTTGACGTATCATCGAAAGAAATCGGTTCGGTGAGAGCTGAGAAAAAGTGGTAACAGACGCACACAAAAAAAAAAAAAACACATCATAGTAAAATTAATACCTTCTCAGCTTCGCATCGAACCTAAAAATTAGTTCAAATTTTAGTTATATTTCTCCACTTGAAAAAACGAAAAAAATTTAAATATATTTAACTTTATATGCTATGTCAATTACATTTATATAATAGTTATGAAAATTTGTGTACTCCCCTTGTAAGGTATTTTTAAATAAAATAAAATACAAAACCCAGAATTTTAATACAAATATAGCATATTTTTGAATATGCTAGCCATTTTCACTATATTTCGAAATATATTTTTTTTAAATAAAGAATATTATATAAGATTTTATTTAAAGTATATATAAAAGTGACAGTATTATCAAAAGTTAATTTTTTGTGAAAAAGTTGTCATTTTAAATTCCCCCCTTTGGGTAGGTTAAGGGTCAAATATTCACAAAAATATATCAAATAATAGGTAAATATCTAAGGTATCTATAAAAAAAAATGTATATTGATTTTTCATTTTTAAAAAAATTATGGCAGTTAAAAAAAAATTGAAAAAATTACTGATTTTTAAAAAATATAATTTTTTTAAGGATTCCTCCATTTACAGGGAATTTTTTTTCTATTTTTGAGGGTAATGTTTTCGAATAGATACAACTTGTGATCTTTTAACATATTGTTCATTAAAATTAGTCCAGAGAGAGCAGAGATTAAGTGGTAACAGACACAAAATAAAAATAAAAAACACAGTAAAATTAATACCTTTTTAGCTTCACATGATTTTTTCACATCAAATTAAAACAGAAATAATAATTAAATATAATATCATTATATTGCATACATAATGAATAAAATAATTCTGTAGATTTGTTTTTTAAATCTATAACATTGAATAATCATTTAATATATATATTATTTAATAATATTTATTACTGAATTAGATTAATAGATCTAATTTAGTTTATTACCTTAAACAAATTATTTAAATAATTACAATACATAAGCTGAAAATAAACTAATACAGTTCTCAGTACTACTCTGCTTGTCTAAGACGTGCCAAACGTTGAGTCAGTTCATCTTGTTCAGTAGTAGTAGTAGATAATGAGCTGATACTTTGAGGGTTAGATGGTAACTCCATTTTCAATTCCAAACTATTAAAAAATATATATATATACATAATAAAATACTGCAATAACATTTGCTGTTAACATATATTTTACTTCTGACATACATTTAATTTTTCTTTATATTAAGGAATTTAAATTTTTTACTGTTTATATCATAACTATAATATCAATGTATTTTTACTAATGTATATGTTATGTAATGTTTATTTAGTTTTACAAATAAATTTAAATTTATTTATAACCCTCTTAAATGAAAAGTATAACAAAAACAGAAAAACTTGTTATTTCGTGCTAACCAATTAACCTTATATATCATTAATCAACATAAAATTTATCATAAAAATAAAAATTTGAAAAAAAAATTCTTACAATAACTTTTTTTAGAATTTAACCCATACAGACAAAAATAATAGACATAATTCTAAAGGGAAGCCATTAAAATTACATAGTTTAATAATATTTATCAAATAATAATTATTCATATTTTTCATAAAAAAACAATATTTAAAAGGAAACTTCTTTTGATAGATAGGAGAGAAAACTTTTATAGTTTGTGATTTTTTCATTTTGAAATGTGTAGTTAATTTAACATACCCAGCTTCATCAGCAACTTGTTGTAATAAGTTTTCAACATCACCCTGAGGTACAGCAGTTGTAGTACTTTGAGACATGGTATTATCCATGTAAGAACTTTGTACATCCAAATCTTCAAATTGATTTTCAAACTTATCCATCAAAGAAGAAATTTTTTCAAGATTCATTGATTTCATAGCTGCATCCATTGCTTTTACAACACCACCCATACTTTGAGTTACCTTAAGTAAAATTTAAATTTATTTAAAAACAACACTTTAAATAAAATTAGCTTCAGTTCATATATCACAGGTATGTGATAATGTTTAATTACTACCTTTCTTGTAGTAAGAGCTCCTTGAACTCTTGAAGCAACTGCATCAACTCTAGCACTCATTCGCAAATAATTAAGAGATTGATTTTTTTGCCTGATAGCATTTTCAGCATGTATTCGTGCAACCTGAAAGTGTGGTTTTTATTTTAAGTTAATAAAATGAAAATTTTAACTGTAAACAAAATTAAAAAGTTCAAAGTTAATAAAAAACATATTGTATTATCATAGATTTTTATTCATGGTGCAAACTTACAATTATAAATATTTTTCTTGAAAGCTATTCGCATTAGAAAATAATTAATATAATTAAATTTTACCTCCATGTTTCCCTTTTGAATAGCTTTTTTGGTTTTTAATTTCTCTGCTTTTTCTTCTTTCTCACATTTTTTTGAATTCCTTTCTAACTCTTTAACAGCAAATTTTAAATTAAATAAATGATCTATAAATTTTGTTAAGAAATTATATTTAACAAGTTTGTAGACAAAAATAAATTTATACAAATTTTCTATTGTGTCATATTACTAAAATATAAAAAAAATTTAATAAAATATTTAAAAAAAATGTATACAAAAAAGGATACTCTCCATAGCTGACATTGCATGAAATTATCTTCTTTATTAATATAAAACTAATAAATAGTTGTGCAAAAGTTTTAAAATACCTTAAAGTTATTATTATTGTTATTGTAGCCAAACAATAGAAACATAAGTTAAAATATCACTCATATGTTTCAATTAAGCTTTTTGTTTTTATGTATAGTGATGACTATTAGGAAAATGATAATTTTTATGATAAACTGTGATAATGATATTTATGTCGAGTAATATTAGACTACATCATATTGCAACAACTAGTCATTACTTCGAATGTACAATTACCTCGAATTTGTTTCTCCTAATTTTAGCAACATCAATGATATAACAAACTGGAAAAATATATCAATGGAGTTCCACAATTCATCTTATTAAAATTAGGCGCTCTTAATAATGCACGCCCTTTAGAAATAATCTGTCAACATAATTTTGTCAAAAAATATGTAGTTGATTACATCCTCTTTTTTAATAATTATAAAAAAAAATATTTAGAACTGTTGTTAATATAATTTAATTTAAATAACGACCAAAGTAACAACGATAAATATATGTTACTTTGTGTTTGTTCATAATATTGTAAAAAAACTAAAATGTGTAAAAAAAACAATTTTTAACACTTTGTAGATACTGGTTTCTCTTTTGTGAAACATAATAGTTCTTTACTTATAAGTTTAAACTGTACAAAATAGATACGTTTAAGGATTTTCAATTTTTAAAAAGTTATAATAATTTAAATGTGTAATTTCAACTTATCAAAAGAGAGATTAATGTCTATAATACACTAAAAAAAAAAAAAATAATAAAGTTGAAACTATAAAAAATATAGTACTGAATAATTCATATGTGCAATTTAAAAATGAGATAGAATTTATCATCATTTTTATAGTAAAATATATATATATATTAAATTACATTTTTTTCGAAATAATTTGTGTTAGTACCTATAGTGTAAAGGAAAAATATGAACATATATTTGTATACATTCGTATAAAATGGTATAAGACAAAAAATCTTTATTATCACTACTAAGGTTGTTTAAAACATGTTTTTAAAATAAATCTGTTTAAAACGTTTTAAATGTGTCCATAAGACCAATGTCAATTTTGAATTTTATGGTGTAATAAACGTTTTTAAAACTAATAACGTAACAACCCCGAGTACTATAAATGTTCTGAATTTTTTTTAAAAAAGGTGAGTTATTTCCAAAACAAAAATTAAAATTTTTTTATTGAATTGATCGTTCAAGACAATTATTTTTTGTGTTAATACTGTAAAATAAAATTCTGAAAATACCTCGAGTATTTTGTTAATAAATCATTGGATCTAAAATTTTCAATATTGTTTTTATAAGGTCATTAATTTAAGAATAAATGTTAGAATCTAAATAGACATAAATGGAACTATTACTAACAGCATAACTTAACTTTAAGGGACCTCAAGGTGAGTATCATAAAAAAGACCTTTCAATTTAAAAATTGCTTTTAAATAATTTTTCAAGAATTTTATTTTTAACAATTATTAAAAAAAAATTGTCAATACAAATTATATCAGTTAATATAGTATATGATATTATATGTAGAATTGGGCCGAATATCCGTAAACTAAATGGTATCCGATGTATTGGGTTAATATCTCGGATGTAATTTATATTCAGCTATTCGGCGTCACTTATAAGTTATAAGTGACGCCGAATAGTTAACAATTAATGTTATAAGTTATAACATTAATTGTTAACTATTCAGTCAAAATAAAATTTCACCGAATAGTTCAGAAAATTAATAAAATTCAAATTAAATTAGAGATAATTTTTTTTGGGAACCTATAGCTTTTTAACAAAGTATTCCGATTGTCATAACCAACCCAATTACTTGCAAAATAATTACAATATTGATAATACATTTGTTTACTTATATATACTTCTTGATTTATTAACTAGATTACAAAATAGGAAATTATCTAATTAAGAAAATGATGGGTTGGTAACTTTATAACAATATAAATATATTTATATCGTTTTATATTTTTCGGACGCACTACTCATCCATCCCATATTTGAAAAAGTTAACTTTCAAAGTATTGGTCCAAAAATTGTTATCGATTCGTCATTTTCTTAATTAAATACAATAATTGTATTTAATTATTTATTAGTAACTAATAAATCAAGAAATTTATGTAATTAAAAAAATATATATTTTTGTCAATATTACTGTTTTACTTTTACAGATAATTGAATGATTCATGACAAATGGATCATGTATATAGTCTTCATCATATTGGAACTAATATTAATAAATTAATACAAAGTGATTGATATATTGTTCACCACTAGATTTCTTCTAAAATATTAATAATTATAAGAACTCATAATACTCATATTTTTTTTTATTAGAAGCATATTTTATAATAGCAGTATATAATAAACTAAGTAATTATATAGAAGTCACAAATATAAAGGACATAAATTTATAATAGAAATTAACATATTTAAGTACTTTTTCACAATTTTTCTTCGAAAATGAATTTAAAAATAATTATTATGTTTTAGATTACAAGTATAATAAGAGAAATAATTAGTAATAGTAATAAATAAATTATGAAAGTTACATTGATATATTAATTAATATGTAAATGCATCCACCTTAGCAACAGCATAGTTTACATGAGCCCATGATGGAAAAGAGTCTACAAATTGTTTGAACTCATTATCTAACACAATATCTTTTCTAATAACCCAGTTATAAGCAATTGTAACATTAAGAGTTTGTTCATTAAAACCATAATTGCTTTCTAGTTCTAGCCAAAAATTCAATGTTTTGTTTTTATTGCCACTCACATGCTTTATTATGTAAACATCATTATTATCCCATTTTGTAGTTACTGTAGGTGTATTGCTAAAACTCCACAAAGTTAATTTGACACCAGGATAAGGGCTTAAAATAATATTAATTCTTTCTGGTCCACTAACATGAAACTCCATTCGACGATTGTAGCCGCTTTTATCATTTAATATAACAGTAGTATTGGTTTCTAAATGTGACATTGATAGAGCATCTTTGTTTGTAGGAATCCAACTAGAAGACATCGATAATTTATCTGCTAGAGGCAATCCACATAGTAATTCTTTAGAACATTCTATATCTTTAGCATCTCTCATTTTTTTAACATATTTTGATATTGTGTATGGACTATGTCGATCCCAATTAATTATTAGATATCCATAATCTTTTAAACGTGTATCTTTATTGAAACTTGAAAATGTACGTTGTGTATAAATAATATCAAATCGTTCATTTTTTGGAACTATCAAACCATCCGAATATGGAAATCCAAATGGTGAAAGTATAGCGCCCATTGATAATAAAATAATACCGCAAAGCCAATAAAGAACAGCTGATGGTTTCTTGACTAGTATTATTAATGGAGAAAGATATCCAATAGTAGCATAAGTTGACAGTGATATAACAAAGCTAATGATATAATCAGGATTCACATTTGGTCCAAATCGACCAGTAATAGGAATAAAAAGAGATAAAAATATTTGCATCAGATAAAAAATGTACGTGATAGGTAAGAGAAGCGACGTGGCATAAAATGCTATCCATGTAATAGGTTTTTTTTGAATATTCATTATACCTAGAATACAATTTGTCACTGCAGGAAAAAGTACAACAATCATTGATAAATAACTAGACCGTATCCCTACCATTGTAGAGATAAATAACAACATTGTCCAAAAAAATTGAATTCCATTAAAAAATGAAATACTCCAATCTGTTGACTTTCTTGTATGATTTTTAGTAAATAAAGCAGGAATTGACAATAAAGTTAAAGATGAAATAGCATAATAAATACTTAAATTAATCTTATTGCTGTACCAGCTCATAGAACTGTTAAATTCATCTAGTATATAAGCCATTAAACCACTTAATAAGGTAGATAGAATTATCATTACCATAGGAACAAAAATAGATAGTAAAAAGTGTAAACTATAATGTTTGCGGTTCATTCCTTTTGTTATATTTCCAAATGATAAAAAGATAGAAAAAAACGATAGTAATGAAATTGAAAAATTAACCAGCACTCCAGACAGCTCTGTATAGGAAAACATATACAATCCAAATATATCAAAAAACACATATTTAGTCTTAATTTTAGATGAGACATTATGAGATGAAAATATTTTAACAAGTTTTAATAAGTTATTTCCAGTATTTTGTAGAACTGCTGGTTCTATTTGGTTTAAATCATCAAATTTAGTATGGTAAACATATCCATTTTTGTAATGGGCAAAGTCCAAACCTGATAAATTACCAAAATCTCTGAATATTCTAAAATCTGTATCTGATGGTATTAATCCAGACTGAAATATTTCTTCACCAATAACTAGTCCATATGGATTGGGTACTGCTTTAGCATATAATTCTACTAAATATGAATTCATTGTTGTAGTTTGAAACATTATTTCTTTTCCTCCAGCTCCACAGCTATCTAAGTTGATGACAAATCTTAAACTATTAGACCAAAGGTGTTGAGTTATAAAGCCATGTGATGCTCTCAAGCCAACTTCTTCTCCACCATTGAATAAAAATATTATAGGTCTTTGCAGTTCTGAACTTTTAGCTAAAACACGTAGAAGCTCTATCAAAACAGCACAATTAACTCCATTGTCACTAACACCAGGTCCTGCAGGCACTGAATCATAGTGGCAATTTATTAATACTGCTTCTTCAATATTATTTTTTGGGCTTAGTTTTACAACAATATTTTTTAGGTCTATATAACTATAAGTGTAATTCCATTTTGTAAAACTTATTTGAAATGATCCACTAACTTTTTGATTAAGAAAACTAATATTATTCAAATTTTCTCTAGACTGAATAATGTTTTCAACTTCACTTTGTAGTAAATTATAAGTTAAATTTTCATTTTCATAGCTACCAACTGGTCGTGGGCCTATATCATACATTTTGATTAATGTTGACATAGCACGCTTTGCAACAAAATTTTTGGTGCAATTTACATTAATAACTTCTGGCAAGCTATTATCCATACAGTAAACAAAAATATTTAAAATTAATATCACACATAATGCTAACATTATAAAACTTGAGGTTGAAAAATATTTTTGGTTCTTTAAAGAATGAACTTCATTTACATCTGAATTATGTAATATTTGAAATGTCTCCATCTGTTGGCTACTGTCAAGCCTATTACCTCGACGACGAAGCTCCATTCAATACTAGCCTGTACAAAACATATATAACTAGAAAATAAAATTCCCTATCACAAAATATACATTTTTTGTTAGTTAAACCCCTCACCAAAAATTATACTACTATTGTTCATCTAAGAAAGATCATAGTTTCTAATCTACCTAGATCAATATATTATTGTTTCTTGCATTAATGATGAAATAAATAAATTATAGGTGAACCGTATTTTATAATATTTCAATTATTAAAATAAATTACAAATTCAAACAATTTATGCTTAGTAAAAAAACATATATTTCTTCTTATCAATGTTAAAATATCATTTATACAACTAAAACATACTTTTTTTAAGTTAAAATAATCAATAGTTTATTTATTTTAAAATTAAACTTAACAGTAAAAATATTTCATAATTATATCATAATTCATATTATACAAAACATTTTTCCAACAGAAAATTGTAAATTTAAATAAATATTAAGTATATTAATTGCATTACACAGTAACATAACAATATTATTAACAATAGAATACATTTAAAATCACTTTTTTTCAAGTATTAATATACAAATAATATAAAGAAAGTCAAGTTCAATAACATAATAATAAAGATGTAAAGAGTGCTCAAGATAAAATTACATTTTTAAACAATTTTTATTTACAATTCAAAACTTAATTTTTTAAACAATATTTTTGATAGTTTGTCAAGATAAATAATACTTTAAAATTATAACTCTAGAAAGGAAGGTTTTTTTCTGTGTCGTCTACCAGGTTCTAATAAATACGTAACATCCACTTTATCTTCTTCTGGAAATTTACTCAAAAGCTTGATCAAAATGCTATCTAATCTTAATTTTTTAACTGAAACTTGCGCTTTAGATAATTTTTTAGAAGGTGGAATGGTTTCAATATGTTTAGGTCGTGACGGGGCAGAATTGTTAGAAACTTTAACCATAAGACCATGAGGAGCAAAAGTTCTTGATAACTTCAACTTTTGATCATACTTTTCAAAAGCATAACTTTTTGTACAAATTGGCGGATTTTTAGATTTGTTCATTTTGGCAAACATACGAGCTCCTTTGTCAACTCTATACTCACATATATATAAATGTTCATGGTTAGCACCAATAGGGTAACCTTTACTATAAGTTGAGGGGTCAAGAACCCAGCATCTACCCATTATAAGATCTAAAGAAATCTTCTCATATATAGGAACTCTAACAACTTCATTAGGGTAAAATTTTCTTGTTGGTTCATGATATGTTTCATGTGGTCTTAAATAATGATGGCCAAAAGAAAAACGTTCACCAGATTCATTTTTCCAAAGTCGTTCAACTCTAAAAATATCACAATCTGAATATTTAAAGTCTTTAATTGTTTTGTAAGAATGTGATCTTCCAGTTTCAGGATTTAATATATCTCTGAGTACATACACAGTGTCATTAATACGTATTTGTAAATCACCTCGCAGCAAGGTTAAGTAGTGAGTTTCATTTGGTTCTGCATAACCAGGCCTATTTGGTAATTGAATTTCATAATCAACTTCACGATGATCACAACGTTCACACAAATAATTTTCTACGTTACCAGGATCAGCTTTAATACAATCACAATGTTGCCATACTAAACAACGTTCACATTGAATCATAAGACCTTCTTCTTCATGTAAACCACATACACATCGTACTACATCATCATGATCACCACCTGGATTATTTTTTTCAGCAATAAATGCTTCAGGAATAGGTTTATCTAATATTTCTTCAATCTTAGGAACAAATTCTAGCTTTGCTAAATTATAAATTTTTCTTAATCGAGTAGATAGAACACCTAAATCAGAAATCCGTCCATAGTATTTCATATTATTTGTTAACAACTTTAAAATATCTGAATCAAAATCCATGACAGTATCATAACCACCACTTTCAATATTATTTCCAATTGTGGTTAAATCAATTGGTTCTTGAACTTTTTGATAATAATTGGGAGATTTACGTTTTGAAGGTAATAAAATGAATGGCATTGCAAGTAACTCACCAGTTTCTTCTTTAGCATTACTTATTATATCATAAAGCTGTTTAAAAATGGTGGCTAATTTTGCTTTTCTTTCCATTTCTGGATCATTCTGGGCAGTTGTTAATCTTCTTGTTCTTACTGAACAACTATTAGTAAGGGCATTCATTTGTGCTCTAAAAACTTCAGCTTGATTGGGTTTGTTTTCTTTCCCTCTCTTTTTCATTCGAATCTTGTCTATTTTCATAATATTTCTATACAAACATATCTTATGCAAGAAAATCAATTCTTTTTCTTCTTGATCTATTACTATAGGGGAATTCGAAATAAGCTTTTGTTGAATACTAACAATGGAGGTAGATTTTTTTGGTGAACTATTTGTATTCGGAATAGCTTTTCGAGAACGGTTTCTATTAGTTGGTAAATTAGTTACAACACTTGGAGAACTTTTTGCTATTCGTTGTGATTTACCTCCAATAACACCTCTACAGTTTGGTGATTTACATTTACACAATTGCCCTTCATCAGGATTAAACAAGGAAAAATTATAGTCATAGCATAATTCTTCATTAGGTTTTATGTCACGAAGAGCAAATAATGCCATACGAAACAAACCATTTACACTCCATTTTTGCATTTCACAATTAGGTTCACAAGAGTGATTGACAAATCTTGCTTCACCTCCCATTCTATGACCATCAATTACTGAGCCACCATCAAGTTTTAAACAATAATGATGAACATCATTTTTGTAAATAGAAGTCATGCGGTCTTTAAATGTTTGTTCACTAACTACTTCTCCAACATACTCTAGAAGTAGCTCGCCATTTTTAACTTCTTCAGAAGTTTTTATTCCCCATCCTTTTTCTTCAGTCATAAATTTTACTAAACCAGGTGCCCATTCTTGTTTTTGTAAGCGTTGATTGGAACACTTTTCATTACATGGACATAAGTCTGGTGAGCATTCAGCAAATATCATTCTATTAATGCAATCATCAGTACATCCTTTGCCCTCTAATGGAATTTTACAGTTACATGCTTGAGCTTCATAAGTACATACTGGTTTAAAGTCATAATATACATTAGTTTTCAATTTTCTATAATTCCATGATTGTATAACATGTTTTTTGTCAGCCTTTTTCTTATGAGGTTTTACATCTACTTGATCTAATTTTAGTTTTTTTGTTACATTTATGTTAATTGCTTCACTATCTTCTTTTTCATCTTTTTTTTTTTCTTTAAGCTTATTTAAAACAACAGCTCGAATACTTCTTCGTTCCGGTTCAATTAAATCAGATTTCAGATGTGAATCATTGATTTTAGGTTTCACTTGTGAAATTTCAGGAGTAGATAGTTCTGCACGCTTTTTTTTTTTTTTCTTGACAGGAAAGCCAGTACGATTAATACATTTCTTTCTTCTTTTTAATTTAACTCCCGAAGTTTCTTTTCCAGATTTATTAATCTTTAATTTTTTAATATTGCAGTCATCTATTTTTTTCTTTAAAGTCCAATTTGGAATTTCTACAGTTGGTACAAATACTCCTGCAGGAGGCTTTTTAGGCTTAGATTCTTCTTTTTTTTCACCTTCATTTAACTTCACTTCTGATATAGCAGAATAACTTCGTAATCCAGATTTTTTCTTTACTTCAGATTTAGATTTTAAAATTTTAGGTTTTTTATCAGATTCACTGCCTGAATTTTCATCCCTAGATACATCATCTAAATAAGCAACTTCTATACCAGTAGATGATGTTATATGATAATGTCTTTTTTTTAATGGTAATCTTTGGTCATTGGTAGTTTCTGAATCTCTTGATGTATCAGGAGATCCACCTTTTTTTCTTTTGTTATCAATATCATTATCACTATAACTTGCTTTTTCTGCTTTCCTTTTTTTACTAGATCTATCTCTTTGTTTAGATTTCAAGGAACTAGATTTTGCTCTAATACTGTCAGGCATTTTAGAAATATTTAAACATTGAATAAACAAAACAACAAGATTATCCATTTCAGCAATAAATTTAGGATTTAGAGACTTTTTATGCTTCTTCTTCTTCTTTTTTTTCTTTTTTTTGTGCTTTTTCTTCTTTTTTTCAGACTGTAATTTTTCAAGAGATTCTAATTCTAAACTTACAGGAGTTGGACTATTTGGTTCTAATAATGGAGGCATTTTTTTTGGTCTACCAGGTCCACGTTTTAAGCTTGCTGATAATTTAGGTAAAATATTTTCAGATTTTCCACGTATTTTACATGAACCTTTTGGTCTACCTCTACCTCGTTTCATTAAATTTTCTTTTTCATTTTTGTCTTTTTTATCTAATAAATGTGCAGAGGCTCTAGAGCTTATTTGGTCTGACATAGTTTGAGTTTTTTCAACAAATTCTTCTAATAATTTAGATGAATAAGGAAGTTCATTTTCATTCTCTGAACTATGATCTAATCTGACAATTGCATTATTCACAACTTCATCTTTTATTTCTACATCACTAGAATCAGTACTATCACTTAAATTTTTTGGTTGTACATCATCAAAACAGTTAGAAAAATTTTGATTTTCAACATCAGATAATATTTTTGCTAAATCTTCTTGATTAATAACTTGTAAATTATCAGAATCCATATTTTCTAGTTTATCAATATCTGAACTAGAAGAAAATGACTTTTTAGATTCTTCTTGCCAATACTCTTTTTTTTTTGATTCTTCACTAGATGAACCATTATATTTAGACTGTTTATTAAGAAAATTAGTTGATTTTGATGATGAACTTGATTCATCACTTGAACTAGAACTTGAGTTATGAGAATCTATGGAGTCTTTACTACTTCTTTGTTGTTTATCTAAAGCTCTTCTTTTAGACCATGGTAAATAAGATGATAAAGATGTATCAGAAGAGTCATCAATATTATCATCATCTACAGACGAATAACCAAATTTTTTAGTACAATACTTTTCTTTTTCTGACTCAGATTCAGATTCTGAATCAGATTCAGAATATTCAGCAACTTGACTATTTATTGTATTATGAGGTGTTGTTATAGGATCTTTAATAGCATCCATATCTACTGTAGAGGGTAAATCTTCTAGATCAGAGTCATGAGCAGGTTGATGAATAACAGCACTCCAAGCAGAGCTACTTAATAAATCACCACAGACTTTACTAACAGATTCATTACTTTGACCAGAACTATTCATAGTGGTTGTGTTATTTATTAAAATCATAATATAACCATAATTTATTATACAATTTAAATAGATTTCAAAATAAAATAATTATTGCTAACCATTACAAAAAAAGAGATGATAAATCATGTAAAAATTAATAGAATGTGTGATTACAATAAAATGCTTTTGAAGAACTTACTGCTTCAGTGCTTTTCTGATAAATTTTCAATTGGCTAATAAAATTCCATGAGTCTAAAAAAAAAAAAATGTTTTTTATTACTAATATTTAAATAATAATTACTGATAATATTTCATGATGCAAAGAAAAAATCTAAACAAATTAATACACGCGTTTAATTAGCTACCAGACATCTTATAACTGTAGAGATAACATAAATTTAAAGCTGATGACCAATATATATTTTATTATGCACGTAATTTAGTTTGCGATTTAAAATAAAATAATGACTAACTTAAAGAGAAAAATTAGTAAAATTGTTTTTATTTTAACATATTGAAGAACTCTTAATAATTTTTAATTAGGCCACAGTAATGCAAACATATTTAAGATTAAACTAGTAATTTGCAAAAGAAAAAACATTTATAAGCAAGGGTTAATTCCTTATAACTAAAAAATAATTAAAAATTTAATACAATATCTAAGTACATGTAGTACTCATAAAGTCAATAATTAAACTAGACAAAACTTTCAAATTTACATAGTCTAGAAATGTTATTAATACTAAGTAGAATACTAATATAATTTTTAAATAAGTGATTTTTAAAGGTCAATAAAAATAAAGTTTCGTTTATAAAGGTATCTAAAATGTTTAAATTCAACAACTTACCTTACTGAGTGTTAACTATAAAAAATTATACATCTATTATAACATACTCAATTTAAACGGTTCAAAAGTAGCAGTTGATATATTTTCAAGTACTTAAAATTTATTAAAATCGAACAATATAAAAATTCTCCGTTGACATCTAAGTCAATTGTTTGGTTACCCGTTATCAATTATTATCGTTCGTAAATGGCGATTTGCGTCACTAGTTGTTAATGAGTTTTATTCCCTAGTGATTTTACTACACATCAGCACCTTATCCCTATACAAAATATTCATCCAACATTCATATCTATCCAACTTATTAATTAATGTTTATAACTTATTTAAATGATATAACTGTTCTACATTTTAATATTTTTTAATATATTTTCTTATCTTCAGTTAATATCAAGAAATTGAAACTTAAAAGAAAACGGTTATGAGTAAGTTGTGATAAAGAGTATTCAAAAAATACACGAGAAAAAGACTTCTTTATAAATTTTAGAAATCAGTAAAATTATATTTTATATTTATTAAAAATGTATAATAGGATTAAAGAATAATTAATTACGATTGCTAATCGCTTTCATAAAATAAATAATTGAATCTAAAGTAGATACTAAACTCAATTATATATTTTCGCGCCAATTTTCTTGTAAACAGTATTATTAATCAGTACAAAGAGAACTGAATTAATAAATAATAATTTTATCACATACCACTCTAGTGCATAAGAGAATGTTATTTGCTACTTAAATGTAAAAAATGGTGGCACTATCATCAACATTTAATAATTATTTGTTTTATAGTATATTTAGTATACTTAAATGAATGCACCAGCTTATAAACATATTGCATAGAATACTGAACAATACAGTATAACATCAAATTTGTGAGACATTAATACTTCACAGTTTAAAATTTTAAGTTTTTTTGTAACAATCTTTTAAAACATAAATAAATTATCAAAAAATTTTCATAATATGTAATCCCTAAATTTTATATAAAATTCATTATTCAATAAAATATAGGCACATTAGTCTATTTGATACGTTTTTAACTATCAATTAAATATTATTTTTGCGGTAGTCGTTTTAACTGCAAAATATGTATGTGTAAAAGAATAACTCCCAAAAAAACTATGAATTCATTTTAAGATGTTAAGTGTGAAGTTTAAATATAAGGAGGTCAATGGTTATTTTGATAAAAAAATTTAGTGATCTTAATGTAAAAATAATCAAAAACGTTTGTTTTTGATGAAAAAAATTATAAGATTAAAAATTAAATTAAATTAATTAAGTGAGGCAAAATTGAGGTCGTGATTCTCCTAAATGCGAGTCTGGTTAGGGAAATTCCATTTCAGGTCTTAACCTATGAAATAGATTACAGGACTATAGCAATTACAGACTAATTTTTGAAGCTATATCCATAAAGGTCCAGACTTTATTTGTAGACTTGGATAGGAATAAGCTAGTATCTACACAATTTTAATTTTTGGTTAAATTACACTATTTTATTGATTAACCTTAGAATAGGTAAAACGATTTTCAGATATATCTATTTTTTAACTCAACCCAACCTTACGAATCTAGTTAAAATCACCTATCATTTAATTAATAAAGTGTTAAATTTATATTTTTATTTTTTAATTTAAATTATGAGATAAAAAGATCTAAATTAAAAAACAATTATAGTATTTATAATTAATATTTATTTATCACTTTTACAATAATAACAAACTATAATACTATATTTATGCTTACAAAAAAAAAGTAAAAATAAATTATATTTATATAATTATTAATGTATACATAAGCTTAAAAATATATTATTATATTTTGACTAGACTGCAATTTAGACACACATAGGACTTTATATCAGTTGTTACCAAATTAAATCATTGAAATAATCAAATTTAACAAAAGTAATATTAGAAAACATGGTAAAACATATAACAATAAGAAAATGTATTATTAAGTAAAAATAATAATAAATAAAGTATAAAGCATCAATTTGTACAATGTTAATACTACATTTTAAATAAAATTTTTATTTCTTTAAAAATTGAAATAAAAATCTACTGCATACATTCACAATAAATAATACAATATTTTTTTGCACTTGATTTGGTCCCAGTGCAACGTCTAGTACTATCCTTAAGCTTTTTTTGTCTGTCGGTTTTTTTACAATGCATGTGTTTAAAATAATCACATCATTATTTTTTAAAACTAATTTTTTTTACAAATACTTAGTACTAGAATTATCAAAAGATATTTTTATTATAAGTAATTTATTTTTGTCTTTTTTTATATCAATAATAATATTAAATAACTATTGTAAAATAAAAATAAATTTGATATTAAATTTAAAAAATTGTTATACAATAGAAGTGTTGATTTTTATTCATCTATAATTAATTTAAATTGTATATTTATATGACAAGTTAGATTATTACACATAAAAATATAATTACTTTAATAGACTAATTTTTAATATAATTACAAGATAAGTTACAATTAAAAATAGTGCTCAGCTTAAAGTTAAAAACCAGTCATAAAGCTTATTTTAGGTATTTATATGAATAAAACTTATTTAGTTAAATGAAAAATGACTATTGATTATATTGGAAAGCTTAATTAAAATTAATTTTTATCACGTAAAGTTCAAGTTGTAGTTGTATAGATTGAGTTTCTTGGTTGCAAATAGTTATGTTGGACACAATACTAGAAATAAAAATAGGGTATTAATAAACACATTCTATAAAACATTTCATCTTATACTTTTAGGTCGCATAAAGTTTTAAAATTCTTTAATATATCAAATATGTTTAAAAAGGTATATTGAAAATAAAAGAAAAAAAAATTATAAATAATTAGTGGTCATCACGGAAAAAAATTAAATTATTTTTTATAGTATAATGTAATTTTTTTTATAATAAATATGTTACTATACTAGTAACAGTTATAAATAATATTTGTAAATCTAAGTTATGAGAAAATGAATATAAATAAAAGACAAATGTATTATGAATATTGAAATGTTTTTAGTTATTTATATAAACATAGATTCTTTAAAGTTTTCTCTATTAGCCTTTAAATATCATATACTTTAAAAAAGATTAAAAAAAAATGTTTTGATCATCAAATAAAACAAAAATACCTTTAAGTATATAATCTGTCAATAAAGTAGGAACAGTTGGGCTGTCTTCATTGATCGCTTTTAATACTACAAATAAAATAAATAAATTTATTTTTTATAATAACACATGATTAACAAACAAAATTAGTGTTTCGATTATTTTTTTATTTTACTTATATGTACAAATAGTAATATTGCTTTAACTTGTCAAACAAGAACAAATTATTTAAAAATTTAAAAGTACCTTTATGTTTGCTATAAATTTTATATTTATTCATTTATTTTTTAAACTTTTATACAGATAAGTGTGAGAACACCCACTGATATAAATATATATGGGTAATTTTATTTTATTTTTTTATTTGTTTTTATTTTTAGGTTTACAAATAATTAGCATTTGTTATTAGGTGCCCAACTAAGTTCTCACTGTTTGTTAATAGATGGCTCCCGCATTAAGTGCTAATCAATTTTGACATATCTAAAACATCATAAATCAAGCTGAGACATATGGTAAATAAACCTCTTTGACACATTATTGTTTTTTTGGTAGCGTCATATACTTTTAGTTGTGTGAAAATATTTGATTTTGTGCTAAATAATCGTTATTTGCAGAAAGAGTTACTTTTCTTATTTCATTCAAAGAAAGCGTACCTAATCACATCAAAAATTAGTTATGAAAAAAAATAGTGTCAAACAATATGTTTCAGTATTAAAAGTTACCTGCTAAGCCATTTTCAAACGACTGCATGCAATGGGAATGATTTAAAATAAGGAAAAATAATTGTGTTCCTTATGACTTGAAGCCATGGGACATTGAGCAACAATTTTTCGCCTGTAAATAACTGTTCCAGTGGCAAAAAAAGAAGGGTTGTCTTCATTGCATTGTGATGGGTGATGGAAAATGAATTCATTACAACAATTTAAAGAATTGTTAATTAAATAAGACAGCCTAGTTATGCTTCTACGGCGTCGAATCGGCTGAATATATAAGCTACGGAGATTATGAGTGTATTTCGTGGAACCACGACAGTGTTATTTATTATGAGCTACTGAAACCATTACTGTAAAAAGGTATACTTTAATTGATGTGGCTGAGTCGAGAACAGCATGAAAAACAGACACAATATAAGCAGAAGCATAAAAAGTAATTTTACAGCATGACAATGCTCATCTTCATGTTGCCAAACCCATTAAAATCTGCATAGAAATGCACAAATGGAAGTTCTATCCTACGCGCCATAATCCCCAGATATTGCTCCATTAAATTATAACTTGCGTCATTTGATGGCACAAGGTATGGGATAGCTGATCAGCAGTTTTGCTCATATGAAGACATGGAAAAATGACTTGATTTGTGGATAAGATGAACATTTTTATCATAACATTACTCGAATCTCTGCCAGAAAAATGACAAAAAAATGCAGCTAGTGATGGGCAATACTTTGAATAATATATATATATAAATATTTTTTCAAAATAAAGTTGCATTAAAAAAAAAAAAAAAAACAGCGAGAACTTAGTTGCGCATCTAATAAAAAAGAATGTTGTTTTGAATTGTTTCAATTTTTATTAGAAATCTGAGTATGTTTTTACATATAATTTTAATATATTTGAATAACACTTGTGTAATATAACTTTTGCATTATCGTCAGTAATTTTTATAATGAACAGTTTTCAAAATCTAGTTTGAAATCTATTTTCTACTTGACAATCATTATAAATTATATAATAGTATAACATACTTTTAAAAGGCTACTTTATGAGCATTTAGAAATTATGTAAAATACTTCATTTAGTAAAAAAAGTGAATGATGATAATGCAAAAATTATTTTTTAAGCACAAAAAAATAAAGCATAAGCACTACATTTGACTTTTAATAAAAATACAAATTTTTAAACAATACTATTTTCAAAAAATGTTATCTAGTAGAAAATTAGTAAAATTGATAGTTAAAAAATATTTAATAAAATATAAATCTTTCCCTATGAATAGGGGATAAGAATACTTCCACGGCCCCTCTGCTAGTTGAAAGAGGCGACTAATGAAATTGCGTCAAGTCAACAGCCGGCGTACAATTTTTGTCAAATAGTATGAGATGTCTTGAACAAAACTTAGGCGAGGAAGACCAAAAAAGAGATGGAGGGATGCCATTAAGTGCGATATGAGGACAGCTGATATGAGCGTAAATGATGTGGGAGATCTTGTCAAGTGGAAGTTTAGAATAAGGGTGGCCAACCCCAAGTAGTTTGATTAAGGTGAGGAAGAAGAAAAAGATTTAATAGAATATAAATCATTACTTTTTCTTAAACAAAGTATTTTTTATAATTTTTCATTGAATTAAGCCTTAGGAGAAAAGACCATTGTCAATTTCGTTATATAGTTAAGAATTTATAAAATTATAGAAAAGAGAATGGATAACAATAAAGAATACTTAACTGTTTTTATTAAAATTTAATATGTACTTAGTTATAAAAATTACATTTACAACTTCTTAATTTAAATTGTATTTCTTTATTTAACTTAAGTTAAATAAAAAAATACAGTTTTAAATATTCTGCAAGACTAAAAATATTTATAGAAAACAAAATTTACAAATGTAAAATCTTGTAGGTAATATTTTTGTTTAATTGATTAATTTCTTAACATTAAGTATAACAGTTCACTATTCTATAACTCTGTATTTGAGAAGAAAACTGACACAAGATTACTTTTCAATATTTAACAAATAAGCATTTCAAAAATGATGTTGCCACATAAAAAAAAAAAATACTATGAGAGTTGACCTCTGGCTACAGAACTATAATTGAGATTAATTGTTCATTAAAATTGTTAATAAATATTACACATTACATACTTTTAATGAGAACTTGAAGAGCTTGATTGTTTAAAGGTCCATTATCCAAATGATATGGAATAACAGTAGTTAGGTACTGAAAATAAAAATAATATTAAATAGTGAAGAAATGTTATTTCTAAGATAACAAATTTATGTACCTTCGGCTCATTAATTGAATTTTTGTTAGTACTTCCAATCTTAGAATTTCTTTTTTTCTCAACATGATATTGCCTCCTACGATTTTGCACAGCTAACAAAAGTGATATAAATGAGTTTTTCAATTCTTTTTCAAATTCTAACTCATCTCTTAATGCTAACTCTGCAATTAATGTCTCAGAATAATCTCTAATCAGCATTTCCAATTCCATGTAAACCTCGTTTAGTTGAGATACATCTAAGGTTTTTAATTCTAAAAAAAAAATTGACTGTAATTTTGAAGACAAAAGAAATTTATGAAATAATATTTTTAACAAACTTTCTTCAATTAATGGAGAATGAGGTTCTTTAGGATGTTCTGAATCTGGTGTACAATCATCTGAAGTACCCTCCTACATTAAAAAAAAAGGAATGTTTTTTTAAAACATTTACATTTAATACATATAATAATAATTTATTACCTCCATTATATCATCAATTTCTCTAATCACTTCGTCAGCGGTAGGTGGCTCACTATCTCCGCTTGGTCCTGATAAAATTAAAGTATGCATGTCCAAATCATTAGCAACAGCTTCATCTTCACTACTGAGATCATCTGATGAATCATCCTAATAACAAGTATGAAATTTCCTATGATTTCATGAATTATTTATTAGTGTTACTACTTTACCTGAGGATTGTTATTTAGATTAAGAGTTGGCAATTGTACTTTGCGTGCATATGATTTTGACCAATCAATTGGTAGAATATTCCCAAAATTTCCAGTAATTGTCCACCACATCCTAGAATTTAAAATACAATACATTAACCATATATATCACACATATATATCAAATTGGTAAGCCTCTCATTTTATCAATGTAAATAATTATTACGACCATTAATAGGTGATATTTTTAAAAATATCATTGAATATTGATTAATAGTAATCAAACATTTTTTAATTTGCACTAAGTACATTGATTTGACTATTTTTAATAACAACTCTTAGAACGAAAATTAAAAGGTTTTATCTTCTTTAGACATTGTAAATAGAACCTTTTGATTTTCGAATTGCGAGATAACTTAATAAAAAAAAATTTGGGAGGGCAAATTTAATGTATCTTTTTAATAACACAAAGGTAGAGTTTTGTATTTGAACTAAATAATAACAAAATCATTATTATTTATATAAAAAATAATTATGTTTGATTATTAGGTTACATAGGAATAATTAGTAAATATATTTTAATCAAAAAAATGTGCAATAGGCGAAATGTGTTATGTGCAGTATAAATAATTATTGAATATTTAATAAATTGAGTTCTAAATATTTCAATTATAGCATGTATTAAACACCAAGAGTTACATAATAATGATTACTAAAATTGTTATTAAAGTAATTTATTTTGATAATAATACAAAAAATTTTTTGAGCTTTTCTCGTTAGATACTAGATACGATTTGTGATCTTTTGACATATCGTTGAAAGAAATCCGTTCGGTGAAAGTTGAGAAAAAGTGGTAACAGACACACACAAAAAAAAAACACATAATAGTAAAACTAATACCTTCTCAACTTCGCATCGAAGCTAAAAAACGTAAACCATCACAAGACCAATACCTTCTTAACCCTTGTAAGGTATTTAAATATAAAAAAAATCGCCTAGTTGTATATTTTGTATAACAGTGTAAAATTTAAATTGAAAAAGTGTTCAAAAAGAATTTCATATTGAATTTTTTTGGAGGAGGGACCCTAACATTTTTATGACTTTGAAAATTGTACAAAAATAAAAAAAATTAAACACAAAGGTATTAAACACTTTTTTTTTAACTATGGCAGCCATTAGCTTATAGAAGATAGGCCGTTGGGACAAAGATTTTTTTTTAACTTATAGTAATTAACATAAGGTTTAATTTAACGTATATTCCAAAGAAGCAGTATATCCTGGACATTTTAAAAAGTTATGTTAAAAAAGTCTACAATATACTCGAATATTTTAAGCTTTGAAGTTTCCTCTCTAAAGAGAAATAATCCAATTAAAAAAAAAAAATGATTGTCGGATGAAAGGTCTTTGTATAAAGATTTATAAAAAAAAAGTTGTTTATTCATTAATGTTTCAAAAATTTATCCAATAGATGTTAAACTAAAAATATCAACATTGATTGTTTTATGACAAGTGTAATTTTTTGGAATATTTCTCTTTATTACTGGAACTAGGAGTTTTTTTTTTAACTATGGCAATGATAGCTTCAAATAAATAAGTTTTGTAATGATTTAACATATTGATGAGTAAAATCAGTTTAGTAGGAACAAAGTAATTTTGCATAAGAACATAAAAAAAAACCAAAACCTCCTAGGCTACTAATTGAAGTTAAAAATCGGGCTTCTTTCTATAATAAAGCAATAAAGAGAAATTCTCTGCTAAAGTAACAGTGTGACAACTTATCTGATCTGTACTAAAACTACATTATTCATAAAAAAATGAGTTGTGTATTTAATTTTTTTACAACTATTTAATATTAAAATTAGTTTTTTTTATTTTTACAGTTAATAAAGTTTTCTATCCCAATTGGAGAATTTTTGATACATGAAAATTATTCATAAGTTACTTTTATTCTTAATTTTAATTTAAACATCGCTGTGAATATTAAAGCACAAATCTCATAATTAAATAGTTTGACTAAGTAACTCTTTTGGTTTTCACAATTTGTAACTGCCTATCATAAAAGATTAATTATTAAATTATAAAGTACTTAAAAATATAATTTAAGATGTAAGCGTGTGTTACTGGAAAAATATAAATATAATCAAAATTCTATTGTTATGATTAATAATAACAATAAATGTTTTCAATAATAAGTGTTTATGACGTTCGAAGCGCATTAGTTTTACAGACTTTAAAGAAGTCTGGTCTTCCAACGGCAATACAAAACTGGTTTTATTAAAGTATGTATCGACCAAATGAGAAACATTCACATGGTTAAACAAAAAAAAAACCGTGTACAGTTGTGAAGGTACTGTACAGTTAAATAGTAGCGACATTGATCACGAGTGAGCATTATCATGATAATGATAAACAAATGTTTCATAGAATCACAGTCTTACATTTTCGGTATATTATCATATTACGTACATAATATAAATAGATAGATAATGAGAAAATATTAAGTTTATATCCTAAATTTAATTAATAAGTTTATTTCTTCATTATCATTTTAGAAACATTGATATTTATTAGTGAATAAAAATACTTTAAAACGCACTTTATCTAAGTGTTCATTTAAAGATCAAATGTCAAACTTTTTATTTTTGATAACTTAAATTTAGTATATATTTCTTTCCAGATATATATTTCTTTTCATCATCGATACTTTCACAACGAATCAAACAGCTGTTAATAAAAATGAGATTTTCATAAGCTAATTAATTTCAAACTTTTACTGAACTTATAAATTCTCAATAGATAGTATGAAACTAGAAAACTTTGATCAATTTTAAGAGTATAAAAAAATACTGATCTCTACATTAATAGTGTAACAAAAAGTGAGTCATAGTTTTATTAAGGTTTCCGCCTACCTTATTTAATTGAAATGAATACTAGTAACTAGCACACTAAAAGTAATTGTCACAACGACCTCATGTATATGAATAATTTTTTTTTTTTTTTGCTGTTTAAAATTGATTGCTTATAGTAAGTCTTCGGAGGTATACATATTGAGTTTAATAAATTATATGCTTAATAAATTTTACTAATAAATGAAACAGTTAAGTAAAAAATAATAATTACGTGACAAATTTTAAAGGTGTCATTCACAAGTCTATAAATATAACTTAAATTCTTTAAGATTAAATTAAACAGTAAGGACCATATTTATAATTAACTTCAATGAATAAGCTGTACTTAAGCTATTTAAATTACATACTTAAAAATAGCTTAAGCAAAACTTATTCATAAGAATCAACTATAAATACATCTATTAGTTTATTTTATACAGACGGTTTCTAATTGAGATTTGAAGAATTGAAATCTTATAACGTATAATGTGCCAAAAATAAAAGATCAATTTTTATTTTTCTTCTTGGATTAACTTGAGTTAATTCCAAAAAAATGTTCTAGTTTTAAGTACAACATGATATGTACCCTGGTTAATGCACAAAGGTCAAAAAATATATTTTTTATATTATGATTTAGGCATAGTCTTTTAAATTTCAAGTCATAATTATTAGGCAAATTTTATCTTGGCTTAACTGATGTAAAATGAGTGCCCTAATAATCGAGGTCCAAGAGACTAAAGCAAACTACTCCATCAATCTAGGCCCATACATACAGAGTATTTTATAAACATAATGACGATGAGTTTTTTCTACCTTTAATTATTTTTTATTTAATCTTATATTAAAAAACTTAAACCCAGTATAAAATGTTGAAAGTAACATTAAAAAACAAATATTTTGATTGTGTAATTTTATAGAAAAATATACAACATTAAAAAATACTTTTAACATTAGAAATAGCTAAGTAAAAATATTTGGCTCTAAGTCAAATATGTTATTATGATATCACATGAAAAAAATGAGGTTATGTTGAAATAAATTTAGAATTAAATAATCTACATTTTTATATAAATACAAATGATAACACGGAAATTCATTAGTTTAGATATTATGAAAATCCCTACAAATTTACAAGAAAATTTTTTATTGCATAAACAAATATTTTAATAAGCTATAATGTACTGTGGTTAATTATAATTGATTAAGTTTCGTGTAGTACTATAACTAAATATTTTTTTTAATTTGTTTAATAAGTACGATTTTTCAATTATAAATATCCAGTCATAACTGGAGCATATATTGCATTTACTGCTTTTGAGCATAAATCGGTAATTTATTACTTAAAATAAAAATATCTGTGTTAAAAAACTATAAACTAGAATTTTTATATAAATAAAAAGTTATTTTTTTCGAGAAATAATTTTTTTATTTGTTAAAAATGTAATAATTAAGCTTAAAAATGTTAGATATAATATATTTCAAATAACAGTAAATGAATTATCAAATTTTATGTTTACAAACACGTCATAGTTAAATTTAGAAGCTTCCAAATTTATATTTGACAGTCAAATTAAGTTCAGCTTCTAGTAATTATATATAGATTATTATTTAGTGAGAATTTTTTTGATTCCATTAACACTAAAGCATTTTTGGGAGGATTTATTTTTAATTAAATAACCTTTATTTTAAAAAATAGAGTAGAATATACGCTAGAGCGAAGTGTAGGATAAAGTCATTTTAATTTTTATACATTTCCCTTCCGTATGGACGTTTTCGTAGGGAAAAATTTCTCATTATTAAAATAAATATATGATGAAAATATATTTTGGAGTGGTACTAAAAAAATTTCTTATATATATCCCTCTAAGAAAAAATTTGAGAACATTCCTGCACCACAACACTATTCTTATTACTCGCATTGAAAAAAGCAAAAAAAAAATTTGAGCAAAATTAGAGTACTATTTCAAAATTGTTTAAAAACTTAATCTTTTTCATTTTATTTAAATAAGTTACTTATTAATGGACAATTAAAAATTAAAATTCTTATCATTCTACTGTAAAAAGTTTAAACTTTATTTGGCTAAATACAAATTTTCAATTTCATACAATACTAAATTAAAATTAAAAAAACATACTAATTTTGTTTCAGGTTTAAAAAATTCATATATACGTATGTATATAACGTTATATAATTTAAGTTAATTAATTAATGGATGTATGTTAAAAAATAAATTACTAACCAAAACTCAGATACAAATGTACAACCTTTTATTCTTAATTAAATTATTCGTTGATTTATATACATTTATTTTAGCTATAATTAATTATGATTGGTGTTATTATAATTTAGCAATTTGTTAGCTGCTGGCCTTGAACTTTGAACGATTGCCAACTCGTACAATATGTAAATAAAAAGTAATAGAATTTTATTCAAATAAAATGAAAGTTTTTTCCTTACATTCTTTCTCCAATAAATTATTGTTTAAAGATATTTATAAAAGACAAATTATTTATATCAAAGTATAATATGTATTAAAATGTAATTATGTTAATAAAAGAAAATTACTAGATCAACAGAATTATAGAACTGAGTATATAAATTAATGTCATATTAATCAATCATAAATATTAAATTATCAACAAATACATTAAATAAATTGTGTAGAATTTAAAAAACTAAATTAGTACATAAGCACGTACAAAATATTTATAACTACAGTTTATTTATATCATAAGCTTATGCGCAGACATGATTAAAGATGTACTGTTATTTAATCCCATAACCACTAGAATCATCTAGAGAATATATTAATACTTAAAGAATACAATATTAAATTCAAATTCAAATTCAAATTCAAATATAAAATCTAAATTCTTTATGCATTTTATTATGTGTAACGATAATTTTTTTCTACTAAAAATTTAATTAATGCATATATTATATAAAAAATAATACAGATAAAAGCGTTCAACTAAGTAAATTTACATAGAATATTAATGTATACTCGTTTACTATTGTAAAAATTTTTGATATCTTTTTGTTACTGTAATGAGAAATAGATATGAATAGAAGATGCATTTCTTTTCCGAGAATTTTTTGTTATTTAATCAGCCAGTTTAAATATTTCTCATTGATTGTTTTTTTATAAAAATTTTTGATTAATAGTCAATTTAAACTATAAAATATGTCAAGAATGAACTTTATTTGTATTAATATGGTGTATTTAAATTTTCGACTGAATAAATAGCCTATAAGAGTTCGTTAAATGAATTTTCATTGAACAACGGAGACATAAGAATAACAGAATTTCTATTGGTAGTCGAAAGATTGCTTTGAGGTTTTTTTTTACGAATCTGATAAGACAACATTATGACTAGAAAAATGTGTTCTCTCATATTTCCATTAATAATTATTCTAGAAAGTATTCTATACTTTATGTATAAAGTAATTCTAATTTACGAAACAAAAATTGATTACTACAATCAATTACTTAATTGAGGAAATTTTAACTTGTTCGACTTGACACTAAATTATTTAAAAAAACGAATTATATCGAATCAAATATGATAACCGCTTGCAGTATTTATACACATAAAAAGATAAATAAGCAAATTTCGAAATATTTTACTCATAGTAAAAAAACTCACAAATATTAGAAAAATAATAACAGCAAAATGTTAACTGTATCAAAAGTTATAAGTGTTATCAGTTGACCTGTTCCATACAGTATATTCTAATCAGTTGAAAAATGCAACTGTATAATATATCAATTATCGGTAAGGTACAAATAATTAAACAGATAATGAACCGAAGCGTCTGTGGTTGGCGATGCAATTTTTCATAGATAAGGTTGTTCTTGCAGCAGGTGTATATACATGCAAAGAGTAAACATCATTTTTTTATCAAAATAAATAGCTTTTGTTAGTAATTAATTAAAAAAACATTTTCTATTAATAACATGAAAAAACTATTAAATGTAATGTTACAACATGACATCTATTTTTACTTTTTATTTATTGTTTTTTAAATTGCTATTTTTATCTTATATTTAAAAATTAACATTTGAACTCGCATAGTAATATCATACGATAAAAGTGGAAACGGACATTTTTGTGGATAGTTGGGCGACATTCTGATACATAATAATATAGACAACGTTATCATAGTACGTTGTAAATAAACACTATCAAAATTGTAAAAAGTTGAAAGATTAGGGACGTAGTTTATTCATGAATATCAAACATGAGTTATAAATTAATTAAATTAAATTTAAAAAAAAAAACAATACGAAAATATTGCATTATCATTAATATAAAACATAACTTTGTCCTGATGATCTTATGCTTAAGTTTTGGTCATTTTATCTATTGTGTACAGGGTCTTAGTTAAAATTATTATTCTTATATTACGATGATTCACTTTAACGCGTGCCGAGGCGTAACGAGTACATTGTTAGTCATTATAATGAGTCGCCTGCAAATATATAATTATACACATAGATAGTGAGTATTGCAGTATGTTAAGTAGACGAATGAGGCTTAGCAATTGACATTTTTTTGCGGTATGAAATTTTTAAAGAATTCAAATAGATACCAAATTTTGTAGGTATTTTGTTATTCTTTAATGTCAAAGAAAAAAATGTAATCATCTATTCCAATAACAACTGATTGTAAAGTGATTTTTTCATTTGAAATACTAACGCAAAAATCGTTAATTAATACAATCTCATTAATATGTACTCATTTAAATAATATAAAGGCTCGGAAGATACGCACGATTTTTTAAATTTTTTTAGAGCAGCTGTGCAAATAAATTCAAGCACTCTTGTTTTGTTGCGATAGTAACTATTATCCGTTGTGATATATAACGCGCATCAGTCTACTATTAAAAAATTTTCAATTTTCTTTTGGGAATCAACAAAATGAAAGACACTATGGCATTACTTAGAAATAATCTGATTTGTATTATACAACTGATATGTGTTTTCTAATTTAAAACATGAAATTATTTTCTAAAGGATTTTCCATTTAAAATATCAGTTTTATCTTATCGATTAATATTATTTTATAAATTAAAATTCAATTTTTTACTTACTGACATTCGTTCATAATTTCTTCTTGGGTCCTTATTTGAACAGGAGCTAATTTCTCCACAGATTCTTCATAATCGCAAAAGCATCTAGTGATTTTATCATCAAACGTGTGCACGAGATCCTCTAGTGACCCGCTGAAAGTTTCACCAAAGTTGTCACCGTCAGCCACTTCCATAACACTAATAGTATTGTTATTTGCCCCACATTGATTGCATCCAGTTTTGCTGCCACCAGAAGATTCTTGAACTTTGTTGCTCAAAGCATTATCTAACTGCTGGACTGGAGCCACTTGATGGATTTTCGATTGGGGTTCATCATCCACTATTTTGGTCCATTCGTCCGTCTCTTCAAATTGCGCTAGTGGTGCTTCGAACTTGAGTTCGGCCATTTTGTTCATCATATCGAGCATAGCTCTAGCGAATCGCTGAGCTTAAACGACACAAGTCGCCTGGGGCTCAGTGCAATGCACAGCTAGAGAATAAACACGAATTATAAAAACGCGCAACGCACTACACATAAAATACAAACGAACGAACTGCCGCCAACAGTAAAACTGTCACAACAGATAGAGATCATCAGGACCGGCGGGCGCCAATCGGGCATACGATTGGTCAGTGCCGTTAGTGTACAATAATTATTGTGTATCGCACGGTTTTTAACATTCTACCATTACGTTTTGACGCATTTAATTTAATTTCATACTTTTCTTCAACTGAATAATTTATCTTATTTCAATACTGTATCTTCGTTTTAGTTAATCATCGGAAAATTTATCATTGAACATTTATAATAAATTATACGTTTCATAAAACGTTAAAAAAATTAAAAAAGGCCAACATATTAATTGTAAATATTGGACACACTGTTACGTAATCGTGCCTACAAAATTCGTACTTAAAGGTTAGCGTGTTGGGGTGGAATAACGATGGTTGGTGCACTAAAGGGCGGAATACGTTATTTTCCCACTCACTCGCCCTTTTGGGCGTCTACTATTGATCCACACTCAATGCACACAGTTTGATTGTGCCACTTGCTGCTGTATATTACGACTATTATGCGTCGCATAAAAATGAAACGACCTTTCAAAAAGTATCTTTTAATTCGCTTATACCAACATATCTCATTTTAATGTTTAGAAAGACAATACACTTTGTAGAAGTATCAGTACTGAATGAAATGTATTTATGGTTGTTCTTCCATATATAGAAATTTAGACAAACTGTCTCACGCAACTTGTGTATCTGCAATAAAGCATCAATACATATACTTAATACCCACACGAGTAATTTGATATCAGAATCGTTATTTATTTGGACTTAAATGGATAAGCATAAAAAAATAAAATATATATACATATATATATATAAGAATATTGTGACAAAAAATAAAATTTTGAGCAAAGAAGGGAAATATTTATTTAAACAAAAACTCATTAGTAGTGCAAAATATATCTAATGGGGAATAAAGACATTGACTCAAGTGCCTACAATAAGCTAAAATAATATAATATGTTATATGATATAAAATTAGTATTTCCACGTTGTTTATCTAATGGTTAAACTTCTAATTTAAACTATTAGTCATAGGGACGGATCTATGGTTGTAACTAGATAGAAATTTAAGTACCCATGCTGAAGAAGTATGAAATACCTTTATCAAATTTATGACGAAAATGATATGATTTTTTTTATTAAATGATAAGAAAGAGTTATTATAAGTTTAAGAACTCTATTACTAATGGCGTCATTAGAAATTTCGATTTGGAGAAAAGTCCAGATATCTTTCAGAACGTAGAGTAGTGGGAACCCCAAGAAAATACATTTATCTTTGATTTTTGAGGCGCGCTTGCCAATTAGTTCTTCGATGACTGATGATTTTTTTAAGGCCTATTAAGATTAATCATATAATATGAAAAAGATCAATTGAATTCATATTTTTTAATTTAGAAGTTCAATAACACTAAACAAGTGACACACTCCTCTATATCCATAGCAAACGTCTTAGTACACCATTACCACATAAATTATTGGAAATAGTTGAAGTTTGGGGCTTAATCCACTAATATTAGAAAATTAAATGTATTGTTTTATAAAAACATATTTTAGGGTAGAGGGAAATATTAAAAATATAATATATTGGAATCCAACCTTTTATTCTATACCAGCCAATGTCAATTCAACATTAAATTTTTAATTCATTTTTGTAAATATTTTTTTACTTTACTAGAAAAATTCAACTACTTATAAATACTTAAACCATTGATGGTTGTACTGCTTAACATAAAAGTGGATAGTGCGTTCACCAAAGAAGACCTGCATCTCAAATTTTTAACTGTTTTATAATAATAAAAAAAATAATAATGAAAAAGTTGATTGATTTGTTTAAATTTTTCTACCATATATTAATATTAATACATTTAATACAATGCCCCAGCAGTTGCGTCTAAATGTGTATTAATGACTGCAACATCATCTTACTAAAGGAAATACAGTTAAATAAGTACGTCTATTTTTAGTTTTACTTATATTTATATTTATTTTAATTGCTTACGAGTATTTTAAAACGAAAATAACTCAAACAAATTATAAATATAATTTAGATAGTTAAGAAAATTATTTTGAAGTATCAATTATTATTAAATAATGTTTGTACTTATTGTAAATCAAACCTTTCATTAGTCCTAAATAAATGTGGTAAACATAATAAATTTTATAATGATATGTATGTAGTATCGTGGTCTCTAGTGCAGACACTATGAACCATTTAAATATAAGTATCTTACAAGATAGCGCTACTATAGTAAATGTTTATTTATAATCAAGTGAACATAAAATTAATATATAACAATTTGAAATGTATGACATTCACGTTTATATTTGATATTTAATTGATTTTAATTAAATAATTGAATTTTTAATTTCAAGCTGTTGAACATATTGGGTGATTATTTAATGTGATATTTTATTATAACACGATAATATAATTGATTTAATAATATTGAACTATATTTAGTTATTAATGTTATTAATTTATAATTATATAATGTATAATATTATATTTGAACACTTTTTAAATTTTAATAAATTAGATTACTATATAATATATTAATAATAATTATTTGCATAAGTGTAAAAGAAAGATGGAATGCTATTTTTTCAAAAGCACTTGCGGTTTTATATAAAGTTATGCAATAATGATAAATTTCACTATAAAATGTTGAATATTTCAATGCAAGTATTAATTTATTTTACGATTTCTAAAATTATTTTTATTATAGTGGTTTTTTAAATTGGTGACACATAGACCTTAGAATAGTTATGAGGCGACGGAGGTTTAAAAATTTCTTCTCCTTTGTTGTTGACATAATCCTTATAAAACATTGTATATATGCAGTGATACCCAAGTTTTTCCGCTGCTTTAGCAGAAAAATAGCTGCTGCATTCAACGTAAATCATGGAACACTTTTGTTTTATCGCCAAGTCTCTAAAGTATACGAATCACGTTTTAAGTTTATATGAATATACATATCAAAGTGATTTATATGAATAAAATTACATGCCCTAATAATTGTGTGTAACTATATTTTTCTTACTTAGTCTTTTCAAAAAGGGCTTGACAAACGCCTCGACCTCTATATGCAAAGTCTACTGAAACAATATCAATTTCAATTAAACGGCAAACATTTGGATATAGTCCAAAAACATTCGCTTCTTGATCAATCTTCCTAAGAAGTGATTTGATTTCTTGAAATTTTGTGTTGTCTTCGATATCATCGTCATTTTTGATGAGCTTACATTTTATTCCGTTTAATATAACTCCAATTATATCACCATTAGGATTTACAGCTTTCAATGATAGTTCTTAGTTAAAAAAAAAGTTAATATTTTAAAAATTTTTTCTTTGTAATAATAAGAAGTTGTGTCAATTTTTAATTAACAATATACATTTTTAACTAGCTTATAAAAAGAATGTTATCTAAATAAGAAAGTGACTAGTCAATAACAACTTTACAATAAGTTATTCACATTATTATACCTGAGTAAGAGGAAAAGTTCAGACAGTAAATATCATATAATCAATCTCATAACTTCTAGTATTAGTATTTCTTTTTTTGTAAAGTTCCATAGATACCTACGTAACACTATAATAAATAATCCAAAAATTTCTATACGTCACTATAATATTTTTAGTATTTTTTATTTTTTAATAAAAAAGTTTTTAGTATTTTTTATAGCATCTTATGTAAAATATTTTTTAGTTTTAAATTAATACTTTAAATAATATATTTTATTTTAAATAATATTAGACATAAGCGATCAATTATTATTAAATCATTTATTATTGAGTTATTAACTTTGAATATTAAGCTTAGTTAAGTTACTAGTTATTTTAAATAATAACAATAATTTTTTAAGTTAATATTAATTTTTGCTGGCATATAAAAGTTACTTATGAATTTATCTAGTTAAGTTAAAATGTTGGACTAATTTTATTTCCAACGTTTTTACGCATTAATATTCATGGGAATTTGTTCTATTTTTCCAAAAAAGTATTATAATAGAACAAAAACTTTTTTAAATAACGACCAAACACGCTAGAAGACTGTATTGGAAAATTAAATTTTTTTTTATTTTGACTAGAATATAACCGGTTAAAATACATTTGGACAATAACTAAATTTTTTTATCTTGTTCTATTTATTTAATGTAAATTACAACATATAGAGTGATCGGATTATATATTATTTATTAAATTAACAAATGTTAATTAAACTCGTTATTTAAAATGTTAATAACTTCTAAAATAGTGGTCCAAAAGTTGTATCGACCTGTCGAATTATAATAAATCGATCACTCTGTAAATTCAGTCTCAAATATTATGTAAAGTGAAAATTTTAAACGGCCATACTAATATAATAATAATTTTTGCTAAAAATAGAACGAAAAATAATAACAACAATTATGTAGTAAAAGTGGTGCTTGAATATTGTGTACTAAGCCGGCATAATGAACAGCATACATTTGATAAATTTAATCTATTTACAATACAAATGGGCTATAATTAACAAATAGAGCAATAATACAGACAAAATTGTCTATTAATAGTAATAAATAATTTTATTTTACTATATACAATTTGAATAACAAATTCAAACAATAGTGTTCAATAGATGGAAAAAATATTTTAAAACTGCGACAAATTCATTGATTATTTTTAATTGGGTGGACAATTATTAAAAAAAACATATATTTAAGTCAATGATTCCAGGTAGTAGATCAATTAATTAAAATAACCGGGCGAACAGCACCCGGTTCTCTCATACAGCATGAGAGAACGCAATTCAGCGGTCAAATGGTAAGATAGAAGGCTCCTATCTTACTTACATTGGGCGAGATAAGAACCAGCTCTCAGTTGCGTTCTCTCATACTATATATTCACTGTACTATTCAGTACAGTATTCTATGACACTTTAAGTTTTTTCACCGGTTATTTGAATTAGTCGATCTATTATTGCCTTAATTGACTTAAGTATTCATTTTTTTTTATCCATTCAATTAAAAACAGTCAATGAATTTTTTGCGTAGCTTTGAATTTATTACTTATGTTTGATAGAGATAAAGTATGACTATTTGTATCATTAGATATTTTTCGGGCGCACTCATTATCCTCCTAGGTATAAAATTGCTAATAAATTCTAAAGTTTTGTTTCAAAGGTCGTTAAAGACCAGCCATTTTCCTAACTAGATAATTTTCTTTTTTTATTAGTATATAGTAGTATATGTGTGTCATTTAAAAAAGTACGTTAATACCCTTTAAAGTATAAGGGATAAAACAAAAAAGGATTTTTTTTTTGTTAGTAATTGAGTAAGTTTTGGTAAACGGATCACTCTGTATATATCTAAAACTTAAACAATTAAATATTGACTAATGGGGTGTGCTCCCCGAGACTACACTGTTAGTGTTATATTATAACATTGATATAATTATAAATACATTTATAAACTATCACTAAATTAATTTTAAAGATTGCTTTAAATTTAACTTATTTCTTTCAATTATGTTTTAAGACATTTTTAAAGTTAGTATTAATGTATAATAAATAAAGAAGTATATAATACCATCACGATGTATAGAATAAAATAATTTTTTTCAAACACCATACAAATTTTCAATGTTAAAAAAATAACCTCAATTTTTATCATTACACTTTTGAATATGGTGTAAAAATACTTGTCAGATTGACTAAGATATGTAGCTTTGAATTGGTGAAACGGTAGATATAAATGAACTATTTTGTTAAATTTGTTTGAAAAATTTTGAATAAACAGCATGTGTAACAAATTTACGTTGCCTACCTTCGTTAAGTAATTTATTGCAATAATCTTCAAACTTTGACATCGCTTCAACATCGTCCATTATATTTAGTGCAATTATAAGTGGTTCATCACGATAAAAAAATTTTCTCAGAAAACTAATAACTTCTTGTCTATCGCTCTGTGTGATAGGCTCTACATTAAACAAATATTTTGAGGATACTTCCATTTTACCACTGTAATTGAGAGTTGAATCCTTAAACAGTAAACTTAATAACAGTTACTATTAATGATAAAGTTTTTAAAATAACACGGAAATTTCAATTTATTATATTAAGGCATAATTTTTAATCATTCGTAAATAATCTTGTTTTTAAAATGATTTAAAATGCACATACATTTGACAAATAAGCAAATTATAAAAGGCTTATTTTTTATTCCTTAGTTAACTTTTTTTAAACTTAATATCTTAAAATAATTAGATATTGTATAATGTAAAATTAACTACTAGTATTTATTGATTCATATTTTTAAATACATTCAACAAATTATGAATAAAAATTAATTATTAAATAATTAATATTTATACATAGTTTTGTAACGAATCGGATAAATTTTATTTTATTTTTTATAAAACCACGCCTTTTTATATCAAAGGATGTTTTTTACGCGATTTTTTAATTTTTTATATGTTAATTAATTGTTATTATTAAACTCATATATAGAAATATTCATAATTAATATTGGAAACGCATTTTTGCTTTGAATAAGTAAAAATAATTGTATCTATTTAATATTACAAATTTACTATAATCATAATTTACTGTAGGCACAGTCCTACCAAAATCATGTAATAAATATTAATAAATTTTACTTTAACTTAGAACACTTACTATTTCCTGTTCTTATTGAAGTCTTTAAAAAGGGTTGGTAAATGATCTGTTGATTTCCGCTCTACTACTATTAATGGAAAGCATCGAAAGTCTTTAATAATTCAAGATTCCTGTTGTCATGGAAACAAATCGGAACATCTTTGTCACCACCATGCAGAAATGACCTTGTTTAATTTATTATACCCTATAACCCATCAGCCATTATTCCATTAAACTTTCTATTAAATCATACTGATTAAGTTACTGTAAGGTTAGTATAATAAAATTATCTATTGTAACTAAACATTTTATGTTTTTTGTATCGATAATATTATTTCAACTTATAAACATCTTATAAAAATTTATTCTTAGGCATTAACTTCAAACACATTTTATTAGCATCTGTTTTTAAAAGTTGACAAATTGTCAATATGCTAACGAGTTTAGTTAATGAAAGGATTAGTAGGTTTCCAAAAAGAACACAAACGTATGTTGGTAAAAATTGTTTGAAGTAGGTATGGTAATTTTTCCCTTCTTAATTCTTTTTTTGCAACAAACATGTTTCAAAACCTTTGGAGACCTAAAAAATATTTAACTATATATAAATTTAAAAATAATCACTATTCAAAAAAGATAAAAATATGTTTTTTGTTCATTATTAATTGTTTAGGATAAATCTAGTGGTCAAAATATAAGTACAATGCTATTATAGCAATGGTTAACGTGAGATTGGACTGAGAGGGACGGAGTCCCCCTTCTTATTTGGATTACAATCTTGCAATCCCTTTAAGTCGAATGCTAAAATGCCGAAGGATGCTATTTTGAGCACTGAAGAATGGAAAGCATTAATATAAGAAATTTATTCGAATGGTCAAAATTGTTAAATTTTACGATTTAATAAATAATTTATAATTCATTTTAATAATACGATTGTGAAAATATAAGAACTTGGAGTACGGAATACCATGAAGTAATTATGGTTATTTGTTTATTTTTGGATTATTCAAATGTTTAATAAATAAATTTTTTAGTATATTAATTAACTTATTTATATCCAGATTACAAGTTTTGTGATTAACAATTATTAAACATGAGTTTATTTATGTATTATACTCATTAAATAATTTAACCTATTAAAGTAATTAAATTTAGTATGAAATTGATATTAAATAATTCAGTAATGTAAATTTTACGATGAAACTATAAAAAGTTGTTAGGTTGTTTTATACAAGAAAATTTTTTTAAAATTCGATTTATCTAAAAATAATAATTATATTTAGAAATTTTTTTTTCTCAACTGCAATGGATTTTCTCAACGATACATCAATAAATCACAGATTGTATCTAGTTGAAAATATTACCCTCAAAAATTTTAAATTTTCCCAGGTTCTACGTAAATTATGGAAATCCTTCAAAAAACAACGATTTTGAGATTTATTTTTCTTAAAAATTTTTCAAAAAAAAACAAATTTAAATAATTTTTTTTTTTAATAGAAACCTTAGGTATTTTTCTTTCATTTGATATATTTTTTTTTCAAATCTAACCCTTAACCTGCTTACAGGAGGGATTCAAAATAGCAACTTTTTTACAAAAGTCAAATTTTTCAACTTACATTTTGAAAATGTTCCGGCAACATTGCATCTTTAACATATCTTAAATTAAAGTTTATATTACGTACTATAAGTAAAAAATTTGTCTTGGTGACCTATCTTCTATGTACAAATGGCTGCTGTAGATAAAAAAATATGTTATTTATGCGATTTTTGATTATATATATTATGAAGATAAGAAGGTATTAATTTTACTATGATGTGTTTTTTTTTTTTTGTGTGTCCGTTACCACTTTTTCTCAACTCTCACCGAACGGATGTCTTTCAACGATATGTCAAAATATCACAAATCGTATCTAGTCGAAGACATTTCCCCCAAAAATTGAAAAAATATTCCTCATTCTCCGTAAATGGGGGAAACCTCCAAAAAAATTACAAATTTAAAAATCGCTAATTTTCAAATTTTTTTCAATTTTTTTTACTAAAAACTGCCATAACTTTTTTAAAAATGAACATATCAATATAATTTTTTTTATAGATGCATAATGTCTTTACCTATCATTTGGTATACCTTATTAAAAATCTGACTTTTTACCTGCCTACAGGTGGAGATTCAAAATGACAACTTTTTCACAAAAAATTTACTTTTGGAACTTAAATTTTAAAAGTGTTCCGGAAAGTCTGACACTTTTATATATATATTAAATTAAAGCTAATGTAATGTACTTTATTATGGAAAAAAAAAAATTCGGACTTTATTTTGTCTTCATTGTGAAAATGGCTACCGAATGCTATTTTTGTGTGAAAATTCTCAATTTTGTATTTTACATTTTTAAATTTATTATGATATAACTTATTAAAAAGTGTATGGATCAATACAATTTTTTTATGAGAAGTAGTATTTATTCATCTTTCATTCAACATACTGTTTTTTTAAATCTAACCATTTCCCTTAATACATAAAAATGCATATAGAAAGTAGAACTCTTTCAACTTAATTTTTGAAAGTGTTCCGGAAAGTCTGACACTTTTATATATATTTTAAATTAAAGCTTATTTAATATACTATACTAAAAAAAAAAAAATTTCGGACTTTATTTTGTCTTCATAGTAAAAACAGACATCAAAGTTAATAAATAAAACACGATTTTTGTAACAAAAATTCTTTTTTATATTTTTAACTTTATAATGCTATAACTTTTTGAAAGATGTATGGATCAATATAATTCTTTTTTTTATAGATGCATGATGTCTTTACCTATCATTTGTTATATTTTTTTATAAATCTGACTTAAATCTGAAAAATAGTTTTGTTCTCTGATGAAAATTCCTTGTAGATTTGCAAATTTATTTATATGTAACAATTAAAAAGTATTGAATTAAGCTCTTCAATTATTATTAATAATATTATTATAACATTAATTTAATTTTGCAGATTTGCATCGAAGCATTTTTAATGAGTATGACTTTAATCACTGTCAGTTATGAACTATACTTATACCAACTATGCCGTGTCGCCACCTGCTGCGACTTCATTGTGATACCGTTTTTATTATATTTTATTATGAATTCTAATTCTTTATTATTTTAGACCTCTGTCCTCTCATTCCTTTGCATCTTTTATCGAATCTTTTTTGAGCAAAATTGACTACCTTTCACTTTGAACATTATTTAATGTTGTATAAATATAAAGAGTGAATATTTAATTATAAGAGGGGCATGTAAGGTAAAATTTAAAATAATTTGGCTAGACAATAATTAAATATTGAGGAGTAAAATACGTTTTCAAAAATCCAAATCAAATTTAGAAATTAAATTTTAATCTATTGCTATAGAATAAGTTATAATGCAATTAATGAATTTGAGTATCAATATTATACTTGAGTAGAAAAATTATATGAGATTTTCTAAGGATACATTTTGGTCTATTAGTGTATAGTACGAGTTATAAAAAATAACTAATTTTTAATTATTAAAAAGTACAAGTAAAAATCAAATTTAAAAAAAGCACTTAGTTGTCATTTTAAATAAATATATTATATATTTTTAAAAGTTATACAATTTATTTTGATTGATAAAACAATAAAATATAATATCTAATAGACAATCTCAACAATAATTAACAAATTAGTGATGTAAAATTAAAAATAACATATAGTTAACAGTATAGTAAAAATTGATCCCTTGTGGTTAATATTATTTAAAAATATTACATTAAAAATATTTAACTCAAAAAATTACTAAAAAATCGAAGAAACTTATTTTGGGAACAATGTTACCCTTATCAATGCTAAAAATATAGTGACGTTAAATTATGTAATATTTTAAATAATAATAATATTTATAACATTTTGCCACATTACACAAGTACAGTAATCAATTTTTGAGCGGTCCAAGATACCAATAATTTAATTGTTCTTATTTTTAAATATTTCAATTTTCTACCTTATATTAAATTCTTTTTTAATATTTACGTTTTTAATTAGTCTTAAGATTTTAATGGGGTACTTAGGTGTGAATAAATGTTCATTTTCATATGAGATTTGTTTGTCCTACTTAACATTTATTACAACTTTAATCACATTGTATTTTATAAATGTCCGATTTCCCACCTTGTTCTGTATTATATTAGGGTTACTTAATAAATCTTTTCGATGAAAAATTTTGATAAAAATGGTGATTGCAGACTTCCCATTTATGTGGTTTTAATAGATTGCCACTTTATATATCCAGGAATCTCAAATAGACTAGCTAGAATTTTTAAGAATATTGTTATTACTTTAATAAAATCCAAAAGTAATAATTTAATAACGTAAATAATTACAAAGGACTTAATATTAGGAAAACAATAGAAATATTTAAAAATATAATAATAATTAAATTATTGGAATATTGGCACATGGAATATTTTTTGTGACTTTTTGAGTTAAATATTTTTGATATTTTTTAATTATAAATCAATATTTTAAATATAATTTTAATTTTAAACAACACTATAAGTTTTTCACAGAACGCATTATTTTTATTATACATATTTATAGTAAAGTCTTGGCCGTTGCGGGAATAAGGTAACCCAGATGAACATTTTAGGAGCTAGTGTTGCATTTTATGCTAAATTACGTCCAAACATTTATTATATGTATGAAAAAGGCGTCCACATAACAGTTTTATTGGGACGCCATTATACTACACGATGGATCCGGGTAAGGTATAAAAAAACTTAAATATGCAGATAAATTATCTTATATAACATAAAAAAAATTATTAAATGTATTTTTTTAAATTTACATATTGTTTAAATTAGGGGTAACGTTCGTTGTTTGGAAAAAGTTAAATTTATAAAATTATGGAAGAGGTAATACTAATACTTTGGCACAAGTATGAGGAAGATGAGTACTGAACACAACTTCACCTTGACCATTTTTGTAGTCTTGATAAGCTAGTGAATAAATACATTGAAATCCTAAACGTTCCACAGCTTTTGCAGAAAAATGACTTGTACACTCCACATATATCATTTGACATTCCATTTTTAATGCTAACTCCCTTTAACAACCAAGTACATGATTAGTTTTAAATTATTAATCATTTTTTTTTTTTGATTTTTGAAATATAATTTATATATTGCATAAGTGGCTTATTTCAGGAGGCTTTAGGGAAAAATGCTCATCCTTGGACAATTATATCTTAAATTTTATGGAATCGGTGTATTACTAACATTACTTTTATACATCAATTTCCATATTTTAATCTTAGTAATATTTATTAATTAATAATAATACGACAATAGAATCATGGTTGGCAGTATTAACTCTTTATTAGCATTTTTTAACATTTAAATAAATAGTTTTGCTGTATGTTTTGATACAAGTATATAGTCAAGTGCCGTGCACACGAAACTAAAATAACGTAGACGACACAGTTCGAGGTTATTTTGAAAGGCGTCGAGCCGTTTATTAGAATAATATTGTAAATATGCCGTGGCCGTGTCAGTTTTTATCTTATAGAAAATTCACTAACTTAATGTTATTAATATTATAAGAAGTCGTTTATAATTTTATATTTTTCATCCTTTTATTTTATTTCGAGAATGTTCTATAAGAAGTTGAATTTAGTATTAGATTCGAACAGCATAGAATACCTTTAAAGAGTGTAAAATGTTGTTGTTCTACTATATTAACCATTTAAATTTAAATTGTTAATTAATCAAGGTAAATATATTATTATTTTAATTCAGGTTTTTGATAGTCAAATTCTTACTTTGTTTTATCAACAAGAGCTTTACAGACGCCTTGACCCCTGTACACTTCATTCACTGCAACAATCTTTATTTCCATAACACGATTTACATTAGGATATCGTGTAAAAAGATTAGCTTCTCCTTTGATTTTATCCAACAATACAACAATGTCTTTAAACTTAGAACAGTTTTCAGTCTCATCACCGTTTTCATTGCCATTAATTTTACAGTCTTCTCTACGCATTATGTTATTTAAAATAACACCCATAATATCGCCTGACTGGGACACAGCCATTAGTGTCAAACCTGAAAATTTATATTGACTTTAATACATTATATTATAATCAAATTAAATTATTAAATTTAAAAGCAATGCATATGCATTTTTTCTTTTGATTAATTTTTTTCACATTTTTTGTTCATTTTTTTAAATTTTAAATTAAATGTTAGCTTCGATGCGAAGCTGAGAAGGTATTGGTTTTACTATGATGTGTTTTTTTTTTTTTTTTTTTTTTTTTTTTACTTTTTTTATCTGTGTTCA